AAGCAAAAAACCTATATTGAGATGAAAAAAACCTTCAAGCTACCTTTATGAATTTTAAGCATCTAAATCTATCTCAAAACATGAAGTAACCGTGGTTATTTTTGCATTGAATTAATAACTAATCACATAGCTAAATATGTATAAGTAAACTTGTCTAATCATCAAGAAAAATATTTTGTTGCTATCGACCGTAGAATAAAGATGACGTGAAACCTGTGGCACGAGGAATGTTAAGAGGAACGCCATCTGCATTCACCTCCACGCAGGGCCACCGGGTCAGCCGCGGTTATAAACACAAGAGAAACTTCCCCGCCACATGCAACTGCCTTTCTTATTTACGGGACCCGCCTAGCGGACCATGGCACGCAACCGCAGAATCACGTTATCATCTTAGCTCAACACTGGAAGTGTACTTTAGTATATCTTATAAATTACCATGTACTTACTGTGTTAAAAAGCCGTACATATATCTACGAGAGACAACCATAATTTATTTTTTTTAATATATTAACACCTGTTGGAGAATCTTTGCGAAACCTGGCTGTTTACCGATTATTAAAATTCCGTATAAACGGTATAATCACTGTTAATGCCAGCGCCAACCAGTGAAGGATTGGCAGTTTTGTGCCTTGAGTTAGACACGGGTCAGGGTACTATTTGGATAATGCATAACATACATAATACTTCCAAAATAACGTAACCTTTGTATTATGTCGGAAAACAGCGCTATACCACTTAAAATATGACGAAAAATAGTGTGTATGATAATTTAGTGGCTTTTCGTGTACCGTTTCCAACTAAACACACCCTAATCCAACCTAACATATACTGGTCTACAAAACCTCACTTATCCTTAACAAGCTTATCTTAAATCAAATTAATTTACAACATAATTTTCTAAACTAGCCTAATATTTTTAAGCTAATTTGTTTAACCTAATCTTTATAACAAACCTAATTCTTCTCAATAATCTAATCTTTCTAAATAACCTAATTAATCTTGCCTAGTTAACCCATCCCTCTGACCTAATCTATTTTTTTTCTTTTATTCTTCTTTTATTTGGGATCAACAAGCCGTTCTCTACTTCACTATAAATAAATTAATGCCCATCATCAAAGTAAATAATGTAAAATCCTCTACTGACATTAAAATGTACGTGTCAGTATTTGATCAACAGCTTCGGTTTGTGAAGGGATTAATGAATAACCCCTGACAAACAGTCCCCATGGCGTAGTGGTAAAGCACTCGCTTGGTGCTTTGGCCTGAGTTCGTATCCTGGCCAGGGGAGGATTGACCGGGCGCCAATCCTTAACAGTAGCCTCTGTTCACCCAGCAGTAAATGGGTACCTGGTTGTTAGCGATTTGGCGGATCGTATTCCCAGGGAAAAAAATCGGATTGAGGACATGCCCGAAACGCTATGCGTGCTAGTACTGTACAAGACTGTAAGAACTCTTGTATATATAATAAACACACGAGCCATCTCCATAGCACTCATCAGGGGAACAATCTTGTACCAGCACTAGTTTACTAAACTAATACTAAAGCCAAATGTTACCATTGTATTTACGAATAATACACTCAAAACGCTCTAGATAATTTATAGCTTCGCTAAGTCAATATTTTAAAGAATGAAACACTTCAACAATATTTTGCACGGAAACAATATAGCGATACTAAAACGGCCAGTATGCTAATCGAGGCGAAATTTATGTAAAATACATGTTTTTCACACAAAATTGCATACAATTTGTACGTATCAGCTGTCGACGAGTACAAGCCTAGTATTGCGAGACATAACCTACTTCCTTCACACTATAAACTGAAATCTGTATAATCTACATAGAAAAATACTATGACCTGGAAATATTAATATTTTACAATCACACGAACAAGCAAGACTTACATTTCAACAATGTTCTTAATATTATGACTAAGCAAGAAACGTCAAAAAACATTCGATCCAGGATTATATATATATATATATATATATATATATATATATATATATATATATATATATATATATATATATATATATATATATATACAATGATCACAAAAACACTGATCCAAGTATGCAGAATAACCACATGTGAAAAATAGAAAATGCTTAACGCGTTTTCTATTTTTCACATGTGGTTATTCTGCATATATATATATAATATATATATATATATATATATATATATATATATATATATATATATATATATATATATATATATATATATATATATATATATATGACAATGTCAGACCACGGAGGAAAATGAAACAGGAAATTTCCTTAAGTACTTTCGTATATTAAATACATCTTTGGAAGGAAGATGTATTTAATTCTGAAGATGTATTTAATATACGAAAGTACTTAAGGAAATTTCCTGTTTCATTTTCCTCCGTGGTCTGACATTGTCACATTCTTAATCACGTGTTTATTTTCGTGATATACATATATATATATATATATATATATATATATATATATATATATATATATATATATATATATATATATATGTCGTACCTAGTAGCCAGAACTCACTTCTCAGCCTACTATGCAAGGCCCGATTTGCCTAATAAGCCAAGTTTTCATGAATTAATTGTTTTTCGACTACCTAACCTACCTAACCTAACCTAACCTAACTTTTTCGGCTACTTAACCCAACCTAACCTATAGAGATAGGTTAGGTTAGGTTAGGTAGGGTTGGTTAGGTTCGGTCATATATCTACGTTAATTTTAACTCAATGAACAAAAATTGACCTCATACAGTATGAAATGGGTAGCTTTATCATTTCATAAGAAAAAATTTAGAGAAAATACATTAATTCAGGAAAACTTGGCTTGTTAGGCAAATCGGGCCATGCATAGTAGGCTGAGAAGTGAGTTCTGGCTACTAGGTACGACATATATATATATATATATATATATATGTCGTACCTAATAGCCAGAACGCACTTCTCAGCCAACTATGCATGGCCCAATTTGCCTAATAAGCCAAGTTTTCATGAATTAATGTTTTTTCGACTACCTAACCTACCTAACCTAACCTAACCTAACTTTTTTCGGCTACCTAACCTAACCTAACCTATAAAGATAGGTTAGGTTAGGTTAGGTAGGGTTGGTTAGGTTCGGTCATATATCTACGTTAATTTTAACTCCAATAAAAAAAAATTGACCTCATACATAATGAAATGGGTAGCTTTATCATTTCATAAGAAAAAAATAGAAAAAATATATTAATTCAGGAAAACTTGGCTTATTAGGCAAATCGGGCCTTGCATAGTAGGTTGAGAAGTGCGTTCTGGCTATTAAGTACTACATATATATATATATATATATATATATATATATAATATATAATATGCTTATATATTATATATATATATATAAGCTTGATTGGTCCCCAAGCCAACATGCATCGGAAAACTCTTGACCCCTGAAGGATTCGAACCCGGTCAACCAGGGCCTCCATGTCTCTTGGCAGCAGTCGATATAGTACTGGACAGTGCGTTCGTATGAAAAATAAGAACGCACTGCAGAGGCTGACGCGGTGGCTTGACACGGTAACAACTGGTGCCAAGTTCCCACAGCCACATGCATGATGACGATAATGGTGATTACATAGTGGTGGTGGTGGTGGTGGCGGCAGTGGTGGTGATGGGAGTGGTGGTGGTAGCGGTGCTGATGGTGGTAGTTGTGACAGAGGCGATGGTAATGGAGGTAGTGGTGACAGTAATGATGGTGATAGTGGTAGGGGGTATCTGAGATAGTGGTGTTGATGTTATTTATGATGATGCTGGTGTGATAGTGACGAAGGTAGTCATAATATTGATGATAGCGATACTGATGAGGCCTGTGATGATGACTGGCAATATTTGGAGGGAATACAGTAATATTAATATATTAAATGACTGATATACTCTTTAAGTCTTCATAATAATATATGCGAAGATACTAAAAAAACATATACGAGTGTTTGGAGTTCTGAAACAGTTAATCACTTATATTTGCAACTGAATTTATATTTTGTACCTAAACAGATTTAGTCAATATTCATAATTATCTCAAAACCAACTGTCTTTTCCCAGCCTTAGATAGGAGGACAAGATTCTATCCTTGAAAACTGATGTGTGTGTGTATTTTCTATTTGTGCCTGCAAAAATCTAGCTATTAGCTCTTGGACCCCGCCTTTCTAACCGATGTCTTTTTTCCCCCTCTTTATTATGCCTACTACATATGAACACACACACACCCACATCCCCAAAAAGCAGCCTGTAGCAGCTGTCTAACTTCCAGGTACCTATTTACTGTTAGGTGAACAGGGCATCAGTTGATAGAAACTCTGCCCATTTGTTTCCGCTTCGGACGGGAATCAAATCGGGCCCTTACGAATACGACCTCCGAGCGCCGTCCACTCCATATTTTCGTTTTTATATATATATATGCAAGAATTCTTACATTCTTGTAAGATCACACATGTGTACTCACCTAGTTGTGCTTGCGGGGGTTGAGCCTTGGCTCTTTGGTCCCGCCTCTCAACACACATCGGTGTGTGAACTCACCTAGTTGTGCTTGCGGGTGTTGAGCTTCGGCTCTTTGGTCCCGCCTCTCAACCGTCAATCAACAATCAACCTGTGTGTGTGTGTGTGTGTGTGTGTGTGTGTGTGTGTGTGTGTGTGTGTGTGTGTGTGTGTGTGTGTGTGTGTGTGTGTGTGTGTGTGTGTGTGTGTGTATTCACCTAGTTGTGTTTTCTGTGTGTGCGTGCGTGTGAAAAACACATGTTTTTCGTGCGTGTTTGTTTTCGTTTGTGAATACATAAACAAATATATTATTCATATAGTTTTCAGGATGATAATAATTAAATTCATATAAACAAATTAAAGACTAACCATGCGTAACTTTTGATAAAACACAACACATTAACGACTTCTGTTTTGAAACAAAAGGAACAACAACAATTGCTAGCAAATAACAGGTCGACAATGTTATTTGAGTTACCGTAATGTCAAGTGCTGGGCATGTTGTTGTTGTGGCTGTTGTTATAGTTGTGAAGGACAGCGACACAGAGCTGCAGCGAGAGCTTCACTGTGGCAAAGATACGGAAGCAATACAGTGTTTACATGAGTGGTTCCGTGCATGGCCGCTAGAGGCGCTCTCGTCGCGACAAGACATAAACGATAACATGGCAACCCTGGTAATGTTAGCGCGGCCTTACATGCTAGAAAGTGGAACCCGGGGGGAAGGAACTAGAGTATAAAGTCCATCTTGCTGCTTCATCTTGTTCTGCCGTTGTTACATCAACACCATCACCTAACTATCAAAGACTTTACAGTGAAATTTAAAAAAAAAATGGGTAGTAAAATTAAGGTAATGACATCGTGCCGTGCCGTGGTACAATGATCTCCAGAAGCGGTCAGTGATGGTGAAGACGGGCGAGGAGCAGCACGCAGTGTCGCGCCTCCGATCATACTCCACTTATGGCTCTTAACACTGCCACGAATCTATATATTTCTTCCTTTTCCGGGGATAATTAAATATTCATTAGCCTACAAATAAATGATGTACTATGATCTTTTTTCTTTCATTATTATTAGTAGTATATTTTTCCTATTATTAGTATTATTTATTGATGTTATTCGTAGTTGCAGTAGGCCTAGTATTAATAGCCTACTAGAAATATTATATATTTTAATCATTATTTGTATTAATTATTATTATAACTATTACGGTATTATATAATATGTAATGCATATTAACATACAACATATTTTATATCAATTATTATTAAATTGCTGGTGAGTTCTTGTAGTTTGTGGCTGGTTAATATTGTTTGCCGCCGGGTGTGGGTCAGGTGAAGCACTGGCATCACCTGCTGTACTAGTGTGACCCACTGTACTGTGTCACACTGCTGACTCACCTTACCCCTCTCAGCGCCACACCATTAACCCACCTTACCCCACTCAGCGCCACACCATTAACCCACCTTACCCCACTCAGCGCCACACCATTAACCCACCTTACCCCACTCAGCGCCACACTATTAACCCACCTTACCCCACTCAGCGCCACACCATTAACCCACCTTACCCCACTCAGCGCCACACCATTAACCCACCTTACCCCACTCAGCGCCACACCATTAACCCACCTTACCCCACTCAGCGCCACACCATTAACCCACCTTACCCCACTCAGCGCCACACCATTAACCCACCTTACCCCACTCAGCGCCACACCATTAACCCACCTTACCCCACTCAGCGCCACACCATTAACCCACCTTACCCCACTCAGCGCCACACCATTAACCCACCTTACCCCACTCAGCGCCACACCATTAACCCACCTTACCCCACTCAGCGCCACACCATTAACCCACCTTACCCCACTCAGCGCCACACCATTAACCCACCTTATCCCACTCAGCGCCACACCATTAACCCACCTTACCCCACTCAGCGCCACACCACTGACTGGTCCTCCAAATCCAGCCAGCGTCATACACCTTATCTTCCGTTAACAAATGATGTGAATGAATTCGGATCTGGGTGAGGGATTCGGTTGAGGTGGGGCGGCCAGTCTAGAAGATTTTCCAGCATATCCGGATTGTTTTTTTTTATTTATCTCGGTTACCGAATTCGTACTTTTTTGTATTATTCGTCCATTTTGTTGCTGCTGTTTCAGTCATATTTTGTCTGTTTTCTCTGAATAATTCACATTTCCTGATTTCTGTTTAACTTTGTTATTATGGCTGAGTTTGTTATCTTTGGTTTTATAGAACACAAGAATATACAATAAATATAAAAATATAGAATATAAAAATAAAGAAAACAGCAAAAGGTGTATTATTGGCCCATATGTGGCAGCTCCTATTTATATCTGCCCAAACTCATTCATATGTATGTCTAACCTACGCCTGAAACACTTCAGTGATGCCACGTCTATTATGTTACCCGGGAAGCTGTTCTAGACATCAACAATGTTTCCAAACCAGTATTTACCCAAGTCTTTCCTAAATCTAGACTAGGATTTAAATCTAGATCTAGCCGTAGACTTTCCTAAATCCAGTTTATATCCATTGTTTCGTGTTCTGTTTTATGTTGACATGTTTAACATCATGGATATGCACACTTAGGGGGCGTATTCTGCTTCTCGTTGTATATATATATAGACATTATACTAAGTATACACTTGCTGTTTGGCCAGTATTGTGATGGCCTTAATAACCTTCCAGAAGTGAATAGCCCTTAAACCAACATCAAACCAAACCAAAGTTTTATCCACAAAATATACACGCAAACAGATGTATTTATCAGTGTAAATACTCAACTCCATTCACGATTAAAATAGCCTTGCAATAATGCATCGTGGCCTTAAAGCTAGTGGTAGTTGAGACTTTAAACCTTAAGATATACTTCCACATGACTCCTCTAATTGCTAATACCTTATCTGGTGCATAATGAAGGCGTGAAGACGGAATATACACGGCAGAGACGTTCAAGTATGTTTATTGAGACAAGAAAGAAATACATCTCAAAGGAATAGAGTAGCTTAGGCTACTTCTATCCCCCAAACGGCAGAGACGCTAGCCGCTGCTCACACGCGGACCATAAACACACGTGCTTCATATTGGTTATTGTGGCGGATATTGCCTCTACTGTGTATTGTGCGCGCTCACCCCTATGCTCCTTCAACCCGTCCTCCTACCACAGCGTCGTATTTTGAAGTATATTATACGTAAGGTCGAAAATCGTCGTATTGGAAAATGGTAGCGGCTTGCGGAATTGACACACGGTTCTGTTTTCTGTTTGGGGCCCTCTGGTAGGTAGAATTCTGATAAATAAGGGGGCCTGGGCGGGTCATCCAGGAGAGGGAGGGGTGCATATTCAAGATAGGAGTGAACTTGAACCTTATATAACGTTTTGCAACCGTTGCTGTCAAGAAGGAATGTGGAGATACTCCGTAAAGCTGTAAGTTTCTTGCCTGTCTTGCTTGCCAGGTTAAACACGTGGCTTTTCATGGTCAGTGAAGAATCAAACTTAATTTCCATGATGTCAACTTTGTCGCTGGACACTAGGTTTTTGCCACTCAGTTGTATACTTGTCCCTCTTGCAATATCATGCTGTGTTGTTATCATCGCCTGTGTGTTTTCTGTCCCAAATGTGACCTTCACCTTCACAATTTAGACATTGGTGCAGACTGGTAATTAATGAGCTTCATAGACGCTGGAATTTCTTATTTTTCCACACGTAAAAGATAGATTGCAGTAATCAGCATAGTCCTGAGCCTCAGGGATGAGGCTGTGGATCGTTGAAATGGACGGAGTGGACGGAGTGCTTCCTCCCGCCTTTCACACTGTTATATAGAACGGACCGCTAGCTACCAACTAGAACCCCCAAGTGTAGCTCAGTGACCTTGTTGAGGTCATCTTCTACTCCATGACCCACCGGCGATGGCTGTGCCTGGCTGTGAAGGTGGTGGCTCATACACCCCCCCCCCCCTCACACTTAGAAGGTAGCAGTTGTATAACTACTATGACTATCCTCACGATAGGCGGAGTTCTCACGACGCTTCCTTGTGAGGACTGAGAATGTTGCTCACTGGTTTGGTGTTGTTAAGACCTGTCAACTACGGGAGGGTTATTAAGGCCTGTCAACTACGGGAGGGTTATTAGGGCCTGTCAACTACGGGAGAGTTATTGAGGCCTGTCAACTACGGGAGGGTTATTAGGGCCTGTCAACTACGGGAGAGTTATTGAGGCCTGTCAACTACGGGAGGGTTATTAGGGCTTGTTAACTACGGGAGGGTTATTAAGGCCTGTCAACTACGGGAGGGTTATTAGGGCCTGTCAACTACGGGAGAGTTATTGAGGCCTGTCAACTACGGGAGGGTTATTAAGACCAGCTAACTACGATATATATTATATATATGTTGTACCTAGTAGCCAGAACGCAGTTCTTGGCCTATTATGCAAGGCCTAATTTGCCTAATAAGCCAAGTTTTCCAGAATTTCAATATTTTTCTAATTTTTTTCTTATGAAATGATAAAGCTATTTATTTCATTATGTATGAGCTATTTTTTTTAAATTTGAGTTAAAACTAACGTAGATATATGACCGAACCTAACCAAACCTAACCTAATCTATCTTAACCTAACCTAAACTAACATAACTAAATCAATAATTTATGTTCTTAATATAATATAATAGTAATATTTAAAATAAACCAAAAGGAAATAATTTATTGAAAATAAAGAAAATCTCTCGGCCTATTAGGCAAATCGGCCCTTGCATAGTAGGCCGAGAAGTGCGTTATGGCTACTAGGTACGACATATGTGTGTGTGTATATATATATATATATATATATATATATATATATATATATATATATATATATATATATATATATATATATATATATATATATATATATATATATATATATGTATGTATATATGTGTGTACTCACCTATTTGTCCTTGCGGGGGTTGAGCTTTGGCTCTTTGGTCCCGCCTCTCAACTGTCAATCAACTGGTGTACAGATTCCTGAGCCTACTGGGCTCTATCATATCTACATTTAAAACTGTGTATGGAGTCAGCCTTCACCACATCGCTGCCTAATGCATTCCACCTGTTAACTACTCTGACACTGAAAAAGTTCTTTCTAACGTCCCTGTGGCTCATTTGGGTACTCAGTTTCCACCTGTGTCCCCTTGTCCGCGTACCACCAGGGTTGAATACTTTTTCCTTGTCTACCCTGTCAATACACCTGAGGAATTTGTAAGTAGTGATCATGTCTCCCCTTACTCCTCTGGCTTCCAGTGTCGTAAGGTGCATCTCTCGCAGCCTTTCCTCGTAACTCATGCCTCTTAGTTCCGGGACTAGTCTAGTGGCATACCTGTGAACTTTTTCCAGCTTCGTTTTATGTTTGACAAGGTACGGGCTCCATGCGAGGGCCGCATACTCCAGGATTGGTCTTACATATGTGGTATTCAAGATTCTGAATGATTCCTTACACAGATTCCTGAATGCTGTTCTGATGTTAGCCAGCCTCGCATACGCCGCAGACGTAATTCTTTTAATGTGGGCTTCAGGAGACAGGTTTGGTGTGATATCAACCTCTAGATCTTTTTCTCTGTCCGTTTCCTTTTAAGTACTTCATCTCCTATTCTGTATCCTGTGTCTGGCCTTCTGTTTCCCCCGCCTAGTTTCATTACCTTGCATTTACTCGGGTTGAACTTGAGCAGCCATTTGTTGGACCAAGTGTGTATGTGGATGCATGTTTGTTGACACATTAAGACGTGTACTCTTGACACACATGGCAGGAATTGAGTGCGCGGTTGCCAACTTTCACCATGTGGTTGGTCCAGTGACACGAGTGCCAGCAACAAACTGGACAATTAGCTGTGTTCCCACAATTATAATGAACCAGCCTCTTCCTCTAGTACCTACAATACATTTTTTGCAAAACAATAATTTCAAATATATAATTTAGCAGCAGAATGCCATGAGAATCGGTCCATATATTGATTTTCGTATAATACAATGAGCTATTTTACTACTTACTGCATCGTTGATATGCACAGATAGGTATATTCTGTTTCTTGGTATATATAAACCGAGAGTTTACCTGAGACATAGACCATTCAGTAATAAAATAATGACCAGTAAGCTATCGTATTCTCAATAATCCTGCAGAGGTTGACTGACCTTAAACACAGCGCCAAGGGGGATATATTCTCGTACAGTCACCAACACGTAAAGCGTCTCGGGGGGGGGGGGGGGGGGAATATAGAGATCCGCTTTTACTAGACGTCCTAACACGTCACACTATGTATATAAAAACTGGTAAAGTTAGGTGAAATAAGCGGGTGTGTGTGCCTCCCCTTCCCCCTCCCACAGTCTAGCACACTGACCTCCTGCCCCCTATCCTCTCCTACACCTGGAACCCAAGAATACCTCCCCACGCCAAAGTATTAAAATAATCCTTTCAATTCACTTGTATTTGAATAATAGTTTGAAACTGCTGCTTGCTGCTGTATGTACGCAAGTGGACTATGAGGCTAGGCGAGGCGAGCGGTCGGGGTGACACAGATACTGCATGTGTCTTCCTGGATCATCTGAAGGGGGCGGGGCTTGGGCAGGTGAAGGGCCCCGTAGCGAGCGTGAAGCAGGCGGCGGCCAGGGGCCCCGGAACAAGCCTGACGAGGTATTAAACCGCGGCCGAGGCCAAGGTGTGCGTCACTAGTGAATATAATCCTGTCGTGTTCTGTGTTACCAAGACGAGTGAAGAACGTCCAGTTAGAGACTTTTAGTGTTCCAGAGTAAGTTGTGTCAGTGCTGGGATCCTTCTTCAGTTCTGTTTAAAGTTTTGAAATGCATGTCGTAAGTGTAAAAATTTCCCTAGAAAACTTGCGTACAGTGAGCGCGACTCTTGTGACAATATGTCCAACTGGATCATTATCTTCCTCAGTGTTGAAGTCGGAGGATTGTCCTCCTTTACATCTCCTGGATAAACTTTTAACTCAGTAGCGTATAGCCGTGTTGCTCTCAGAATGCTGACTTCTCAGAGTACACATCGGCGGGTATCACGATGTCCCTGTCAGTGCCAGTCCTTAATTTATTAATTTATAAGTATAATACTGAAAAAACTTAGCAAAGGAAATAAGTTTTGATTTTATAATATCAAATATACTATTAAGAACTTAAGGATTGCAATGGAAACAGCGATAGCCTAAATCACGACCCGGCGCCTTCACATGCTGCTGAAGACTAGTATAACAATAGTCTATTAGAATAGTATGTCTATTATAATTAAAACACTTCACCCATCTTCCATAAATACTTATGCACGAGAGTTCACTTGTTCTTTGTAATGAATATACTTAAATATTGGTTTCACGATTCACTTCTCTCAAAGAGTAAAGTGGAGCATTTTGTTTAGTATGAAACTTAATTATTAGTCTCTTCCTATTTATAATGTTCTTTAAATGATATACTTTAGTTGGCTTGATCCTCGACTCACAGTAGGGATCCCGGGTTGGATTCCCGGGCGGAACAGAAATGGTTTTCTTTAGCCGATAATGCTTTTGTTCACGTAAAAGTAGTTACCCCTTGGAGTTAGTCAACTGTTGTGGGGTTGCATCCTGGGAAAGGATCACTACAGGCGTCCTCTCCCCGAGAAAGCTAATTATTATTTTTAATTATTATTAGTATTATCATTATATCGAATAAGGTTCATACCGTTCGTGAGGAATTATACGAGAAACGTAATCATTGTAAGTAGTATTAAACTATACGAGACTCCCAAGAGCCAGGTGGGTGCCGTATGACAATAGTACCTGAGAGTTGAGCCTGCGTGAGACAGACAATAAAGCAGCTGTACATGGTCGCTACGAGTCGCGTTGGACCAGCGTCAATAACGTTGATGCTTCATCCCGGCCTCTCAGCCTGTACGTTTCATTTTAAACGTTATTGTTTCCCAACGTACAGATTACAAGGTACTATGTAAAGTAACTGCTCTCAAAAATCCTCGTTTTCTATGCATCGGTGGGTTAGGCTAGGTGGGTTGCTTGGGGTCGTGCGTTTCTGGTTAAGTTAGCCCTGGAATTTAAGCGGGATTGAGCGGGCGGGATTTAAAAATGGATCAACCTGGATGGTTCGTTTGAGCCTTACATTTTTAAACTGCGGAATTTTAAAAGGCTAGAGTTCTGAAGGCTTAAAGGCTATGGCTACTTTAATGAGGGACAGTCCTGGGATAAAATAAGCTCCTTTGTAAACAGAAGGGAGGGAAGTATCAGGGGAAGGCGCAAAGCCATTACGACTATATAAGAACTTGGAAGGAGACAGGATAAGAATTTTGGGATGGGACGGGGGGGAGGGGAAGGAATAGTGCCCAACCACTTGGACAGTCGGGGATTGAACACCGACCTGCATGACGCGAAGCCGTCGCTCTACCGTCCAGCCCAAGTGGTTGAGAAATAAGCTTATATATGGTGTATCATTCCTGCAGCCCAGCCTCCAATATTAACCCAGTGGGCACCGTTGGTTGGAGGCGAAAGACCTTACATACTTTTTATTATGTAACGTTGCTGGCTTTTCACGCCTAATGCCCTCTGCTCACTTAGCAGTAAATATAGGTACCCGGGAGTTAGGCAAAGTATCCACTAGGAAAATGAAAGAAAATTCCGAACGTTTTCGTGTTTCTCTACAGTATGAAGAAAATACGGTTAATGTGGTGGAACACGAAAACGTTCGGAATTTTCTTACATTTTCTTAGTGGATACTTTTCCTAACTCCCGGGTACCTATATTTACTGCTAAGTGAACAGAGGCATTAGGTGATACAAAACGTGCCCAACAATTAGTATTAATACTATTCCAAACCGCTGATCAAGTTAATTATCATTCCAGCCTTGGCTGAATCATTGTTGATGCTAACTTATCGATTAAATATGAAAAACGACATATGGCAACTTGGAGATGTTCTGGTACGAGGCAAGTACCCGGGACTCACTAGTAACATTGTAGGTCACACGAAGAGAAACTAAAATGGATTTGCAAGCCAAGTAAGTAATTATCAAAAGAATGCGCCAAGCCGGGAGGAGTTACAAGTTATTCCTCTGCCGGAAACATCAAGCGCTGCTATAATCACAGTTCTGATTATACAATTATATAATCGACCTGATTATAGGCGCTGGTAAAAGTCACTCTAACCTTCCTTCCTCTTCCTGCTGCTGCTGCAGATGCAGGCGATACGTGTGGTGTTGGTGGTGGTGGTGGGCGTGACGGTGTGTCGGGCGGCGACCATGTTAGACGCAGACGTCGACCAGGATGTGGTGGACATTGGGCCCAGAAACGACCTCGCGGCCACCAGTTCAGCCGCCACAGGTGAGTCCTCACAACACGTGTTCTGACCACACATCCTCCTGTTTACAGAGTACTTTTGTGTAACTGTGTGGACCATCGTACTTATATTGACGTAATGGACAATTAGATAGTAGAATTTGGTACTATTCACTTTATGAATGAAAATGAAGCTGTAAACCAAACTTAGATATTCCTTAGCCTGGTGTAGCACATATGTACTATATTAGGCCTCAGATAGCGTGTATTAGGCCTAGGATGGTTAGGTTAGGTTTTATTAGCAACATAATTACAAAACAGTTTCCGGTTTGTCCAAATTCAATAGTACCAAACTCTACTTTCTAATTGTCCATTACATCAGTATATGTACGACGGTCCTAATCGTTACTATAAGTATTATCCAAACAGGAGGATGCGCTAGAAACACCTCTTATGCGACGTATGCTGTTATCTCATAAACCTATTTGATTCACGGACGGGTATTTGATGTCATACAACACATTAAGGAACCAACACGGGAAAATAATATTTTAGATTTAGTGTTAACTAACAGGGAAACGCAAATTAATGACATCGAAATAGGGAGTGAGCTAGGGAGCAGTGATCACAAAGAAATCAGATTTAGCATAGAATGGAATAGACCAGTAGGAGAAAATTCTGTTAAAGTGCCAGATTTTCGAAAAGCTGATTTTAATAGCCTAAGAAATTTTTTGGGTCAAATTGATTGGAAAGGCTTGGGTATGGGGTGTGGGCCGGTCTTGGAGCGAGACATGAACCCAGCGATAGGTGACTTAAATGGGGATTTCGATGTGGATTCAATATATAACTTATTTAAGAATATTCTAAACAAAGCACAGGAACGTAGTATACCATACAAATTGAATAGATCGTATACTAATGACCCAAAGTGGATAACAAAGAATTTGAAGAACCTTATAGGTAAAAAGAGAGCTTGGTACAAAAGGATTAAAAATGGGGAGGTCACTTTAGAACAGGAATTCGTACAACTGGTTAGAAATGTTAAAAAAGAGATAAGGAAAGCAAAAAGAAACTATGAAGTTCGCATAGCAGGGCAAGCAAAGACAAATCCTAAAGGGTTTTTTCAGTTATATCGTACTAAGACTAGGGAAAGGATAGGTCCATTAAAAACTGAGACAGGTCAAATAACAGATAGTGATGAAGAGATGAGTAGTATTTTTAATAAATATTTTGTATCTGTATTTACTAAAGAGGAACTTAACAATATGCCTTCAGCCGAACAAGTCTATGTGGGTGGGGACGAGGACAGGTTGACGAGTTTAGCAGTTACCAGGGAGGATGTTCTTAAACAAATAGTAAAACTCAAACCAAACAAATCCCCAGGGCCGGATGAAGTGTTTGCTAGGGTGCTTAAAGAATGCAAAGAGGAGCTTTGTGACCCACTGTCAACCATATTTAATAAATCAATAGAGTCAGGCAGAGTGCCAGAGTTTTGGAAAGTTGCTAATGTGATACCAGTCTTTAAGAAAGGAGATAGATCACTTGCGTCTAACTATCGACCAATTAGCCTAACGTCTATTGTGGGAAAGTTACTCGAATCTATAATAGCAAATAAAATTCGTCTTCATCTTGAAAAACATAAATTAATAATTGAGTCGCAACATGGTTTTATAAATGGCCGTTCATGTTTAACAAATTTGTTATCTTTTTATTCTAGCATTGTTGAGGCAGTTGATAGTGGTAAGGATTGCGATGTTGTATACCTTGACTTTAGCAAAGCTTTTGATACAGTGCCACTTGAAAGACTGATTAAAAAAATAGAGTCTCATGGTATTGGGGGTGCTATATTAAGCTGGATTAGGGCATGGCTATACCAAAGGAAACAGAGAGTTAGTATAAATGGAATCAAGTCAGAGTGGGAAAATGTTGTAAGTGGAGTGCCTCAAGGCTCTGTCCTGGGACCTCTGTTGTTTATAATATATATAAATGATTTAGATTCAGGTTTGAGTAGCAACATTTGCAAATTTGCCGATGATACGAAAATCGGTAGGGAAATTAATTCGGAGGAGGACTCACTATCACTTCAAGTTGATCTAGATAGGGTTTTGAAATGGTCAAAGGATTGGCAGATGCAGTTTAATGCTGATAAATGTAAAGTTCTGAGGTTAGGTAATGATGATAGAGTTACAAGATACGAGCTAGATGGTGTTGTGATTGCGAAGTCGGATTGCGAAAGGGATCTGGGAGTTATGATTAGTAAGAATTTAAAACAAAAGGATCAATGCATAAATGTTCGTAATAAGGCAAATCGGACACTTGGATTTATTAATCGCAGCGTTAGTAACAAGACACCTGGTGTGGTTCTCAAGCTATATCTTGCTCTAGTTAGGCCCCATTTAGATTATGCAGTTCAGTTTTGGTCGCCATATTATAGAATGGATATAAATTCACTTGAACGTGTCCAGCGTAGGATGACTAAGTTAATTCCCCAAATTAGAAATCTTTCATATGAAGAAAGATTAACAAAGCTTAAGTTGCATTCACTGGAAAGGCGAAGAGTTAGGGGTGACATGATAGAGGTTTACAAGTGGATGAATGGACATAACCGGGGGGATATTAATAGGGTATTAAAAGTATCAACACAGGACAGAACACGAAACAATGGATATAAATTGGATAAGTTTAGATTTAGGAAAGACTTGGGTAAATACTGGTTCAGTAACAGGGTTGTTGATTTGTGGAACCAATTGCCGCGTAACATTGTGGAGGTGGGGTCCCTCGATTGTTTCAAGCACGGGTTGGACAAGTATATGAGTGGGATTGGGTGGTTATAGAATAGGAGCTGCCTCGTATGGGCCAATAGGCCTTCTGCAGTTACCTTTGTTCTTATGTTCTTATGTTCTTATTAAAGTTGAAAGAATTCTAAGAATATGGACCGGAAATTATTTTAGTGTGCTTATATTCTTGTTAGTTACGGATTCCGTGCGCCAAATACGCGTGAGAGTACAGTGTGGCACATTTAAATCTTTCGTACATAAAAGGAAGATAATTTACTGTTATCTCAATACATAAATTATTTGCAAACAAAAGTGGTATACAGACTGTTGGTCTAGAAATTGCAGATGTGGAGTGTGGATAAACAAAACAAAAACATGTGTCTCATAAAGAAACATTATCTTCAATGCAGAATCATCAATACATTTTTTTCTGAAAACACAAATAACGGATTTCCACGGTTCCACATTTATAATTACCAATCTTCCTCCCTACTTTCTCACCAACAGGACGGACCTTCTCAGAGTGGGGCCAGTCAATCATGGAATGGATGGGCTTTGGAGACGATGAGAGCGACGAATATTCAGACTACGAGTACTCGTACTATTACCCGCCCAGCGCCTCCTCTCAGATAGGCTACGGGCTGCCCTCCGTCGGCTACCAGGGGGCAACGGGTGCTCAACAGTCCTCCTACAGCAGCTATGCGCCCGTGCAAGTGGCTCATCCCCAGTTCTCCCCCGCCCGTGACGACACGTGAGTCAAGTTCAAGTTCAAGTATGTTTATTGAGATAAGAAAGAAATACATCTCAAAGGGATAGAGTAGCTTAGGCTATTTCTACCCCCCCCCCCCCCCCCGTGAGTCTTCATTCTCCAAATTTGTCTTCACTTCTGCCTTTCCTTGTAGAGTCTATACTTTTACTGCCTCCCCCTGTAGACTCCATACATTTACTGTCTCCCCCCTGTAGACTCCATACATTTACTGCCCACTACGTAGAGTCCTTTTCCACTTGAGTCAGAGTGATAAATTTCATTGAATTCTATACAGGTGAGCCAGAATAGAATTTCTTTCAATATTTTATTCTTAATAGTGACCAACTCTCGGCGCAGCTTCATAACTCCATTCTATATTTTTTTATATCACTGTGTGTTCACCTAATCGTGCTTATGATGGTTAAGCTTGGGCTCTTTGGTCCCGCCTTTCAACTTTCAATTATCTAGTGTAGAATTGTAATTTTTCTTTTAGGAAATTTGGCTCTAACTCCTACATTTAGTGTTTATGGAGTCTGCCTGTGTGTGTGTGTGTGTGTGTGTGTGTGTGTGTGTGTGTGTGTGTGTGTGTGTGTGTGTGTGTGTGTGTGTGTGTGTAAGCCAAAAGTTACACAAATATTGTATTAGTTTTCCAAGAAAATTTTAGAAAAAATTGACTGAAATATTAATTTATCACAGCAAATCAGACTTATAATTAACTTAAATTTTACTGTATGAGAAGTGGGAATTTTGTCGCCAACATTTAGTGAGGTGAAAAGCTCCAGCAAGCAATGAGTGCAACGCGAATATGGTGCACCGTCCGTAGCCTCACTGGAAATCCAATTGCTATTGAAAAGATATTAACATTAAAATTTAAAAGATGATTAAATATATAGAATTATTGCCTAATTATCTGCAATGTCAGCATAGTTTAATATATATGAATTAATTCAACACCAATACCTTGAGGAGTTTCTATTTAATAAGATCACACTAGCCAAGATCCGCCCTTGAACTTTTACTGTATACCAAAACATTAATAATTCAAAATATGTCATCCGTAGCTGGAGTGGAGGGAAACGATTATAGTGAATAGCGAGAGTAATAAGTGGGTGGATTGGGTTAGGCTTGCACAAGTCATCAGGTTCCAGGGGGAAAGCCAGAGGGCGTTGCGCTACACCTGATAGTCACTGCCGCTGTCACCAGGCCGGTGACAGCGGCTGGTATTACTAGGCCGTTGACAGCGGTAGAACTTAGAAATTGACTGAAAAACTGTTTATTGTTTCATGTGGAAACTTGCTTCAGTATTTTATGGCATGCAATATTGATGTACATTTTAGAAAGACTGAAATTCCAGGCAGACAGATATTCATACACTCGGTCACTCACACGTTCCCTCTCCCTCTACCACTGTCTTTCCTACAAAACACACACTCAAGAAACAATAAAGACACGCAGGGAAAGGAAAAGAGAACTGCGCAGGAAGGCCAAGAGGCAGTATAAACCTTCCAGGTCTCAAGCAGCGATACACATTAAAACGACAGCGTCAGTGCAATTGAAGCCTAAATTTTTCTAGTCACAACAAATACGAAATGGACCAAGTGACTAACACTGAACAAAATTTCCGGAGAGATGCTGCGAACGACCATTGAAGGATAACTAATTGATTTGTCCATATAGTTTTCCCCGCATAACCGTGAGGTGTTTGTGTTGCAGTTATGAGGATGACGACGGCTGGTCGATGACGGATATTATGTACAACATGGCCCTCACAGCTGTTCCTGTCGGCCTCCTCCTCTCCGCTCTTCCCACTGGGCTATTCACCATCGCAGTCAGGTTGGTATACCGTCGAGGGGTTGGTATACTGTCAGGGGGGGGGGGGTATGCATTCAGGTTGGTATACCGTCAGGTTGGTATATCGCCAGGTTAGTATACCGTTAGGTTGGTATACCGCCAAGGGGTTGGTATACCATGAGAAGGATGATACCGCCAGAGTAATTGAACAATTTCACCTAGATTATATATGTGAGAAGCTGTAGTGTGTTACATAAAACCAACTTATGTTTACATGTCACGGTGGTAGACGAAACCTTGACAGGAATCCTTCATAAGTTGTGCTTCATCCCCCTGGCAGACGAAGCTTCGACAACAGCAACCTCCTGGATGAGACTATGGACCCGTCGGAGTTGCCGCTGCTGCACGCCCTTGTGGAGAGTGACTTCATGGCCCTCGTCTCCAGGGACTGCCAAGAGAAGCTTTTCTGCGAGATCTCCCGCATTGGGGAGCGCGAGGGCGCCTCATTCATGCAGAAGGCCTTCTACTATGTTGCCACTCTGTAAGCTTCTGCATTTTTTTATATTCGTTGTAAATTTTATCATTTTTGTCATGATCAATATATTCAATAGATATCAGTGATATAAAAGAGCCGACATGTTACTGATAGGACACTAAAGTTGAGTTGAACGCTGTGCTTTCAGGACCCCGGACACTGTAGCGCGCAAAGTGGGGTTGGCTCGGTTATTCCGGACTTCGCGCCACGGCCATTGTGACATGATCCAGTGCTCGGCCACCTCGGGACAGAGACCTCCCCCAATGGTCACGCACAAGCCTGTTGATACAAACCGTATCTCCGAGGAAGTTAGCACCTCAGAGAAGGACGCTGTAGAGGTCGCAAGAGAGTGATGTGGCAGCGCCCTTATGTTGCTGGCTGTTCCTCATCGCTTCGAGTCGGCTCAAACTCCCGTTGTAAGACTTGTCTGTTCTGTTGTGAACCGGTGGACACTCAACAGCAAAATATTCTTAATTGTTGGCACACAGAAACGTCACTGTAATTGGGACATGCATTGTTACTGGCTCTGCTGCATGTGAAACACCCAGCAGTCGTGTACAGAATGCATGGTTGTTTCTACAATGGAGCGTCAGCGGACCGAGGCTAGACTCCTCCACCAGTTGCCTAGACAACCTCGGTCTGGACGAGTATTATTATCAACTTCTCATATTTATCTACCAGTCGTAAGAAACTTTACTAAACTTTCACAACCTCTGTTCATATTCTCGGCATGAACGGCTGACCGAAATATTTAAGTGACCTCAAGACCAAACATCCAGACTGACCTGGAGACTGACCCATTCTAACTGTGCCATACGATACGGGCCATCCAAACACCCCTTGAGTTGCCCTCAATAGTATTTGCTGGACGGTAAATTCCAGCGCCACAGTGTCGCTCAACAGATCAGACTCTCATTTCTAGAGCTTCAAGGAGTGTTTGAGACCCTCGGCCTGACTTAGACTGTGATACTGCCGACTTGGGAATACTTCACGACCCAACCCCCTTCACTCTATTCTGCTGAAGTTTCACTTCTAAAGTAAACAGTTTTGTTTTAATCATTATTGTTGCATTCTAAAGGCAGAACAGTTAATGTAGCTACTTTCATACATTTGAAAATTAGTTAAAATTAACGGAACCAGAGTTTGTGGAGGGGGGACATGTGAAGCAATATATATATAACGTTACAGACGCTAGACTAGTTATTACATTCAGTGTACATGCGAAGGAGAATTTACTTATTACAGACCTTAGACTAGTTATTATACCGTTAACGCTGAAGATATCTTCACCACAGACGCCCAAGCAACGCTCTCGTTGGTCACATCACGTGTGGGTGGCCCGCCCTCTCTACTCATCGCTAAACTGTAGATATTGTATTTATTTTTATAAGATATTTCGTCTCTTGAGGCTGGACCTCGGTGTGTGTGAGTGTGTGTAATCTCAGGCTCTTCTTCTTAATCTTGTACGTTTTAAGGTTGCTCAAGGACACTGAACGCGGCGTGACAGGAGGGCCAGGAAGCCGTCGCTGATAAGAGGACAACAATTGCCTGTCCTGCAGCGTCACACAAACTATCACTAGCTTTAACTACTCGTTGCAAAGAACTGTCAATTGTCTCTATCTTCTTGTATTATCAGAAGATAAAATTTACCTCAAGTTTGGTTGTAGATACAAGCAATGGCTGCCCTCCAGCCACGGTGTGCAGCTCCCGGCCGCCCGCACGACCTGTGACCCCGCCTACGGGTAGACTCGCCGCCAAAGACTTAATTTTAACCCAGGACTCTCTGTACATATGACAGATTTCATCACAACTAATTTCAGTAAATGTATTCCACGACTCTTGTTCTCTTGTAACTGGTCGTATAAAGCAGTTCAACAAACTGATTCTCTCTAATTTTAAGAAAGTGAATGTCGCTGGTGTCTTGTTTACATTAAATACTGAAGGCTTTGTGTTGACATTATTTCTCTGTTTTCCATCTTGTTCCGTAATCGCCATTTTCAAACTTCGGTTTACTCATGTAAGTCAGCCTTTGTGGGCACAGTTGTGTCTAGGATATATTATTTTTGGTTTCTCAGACTCTTGAGCATTTTAAGGCATATTGGCAATAATCACGAAGGACAAAAACAGATTCCTTTTCCTGTTGGCTCTCCACATGTAAAAAAATTTAGTTCTTTCCATAATACTTCTCGACTTCAGACGTTACATATACACGGCAACTTTGTTTTTGGACCGTAAGACAATTAACAATGACATTATAGTTGGCGTTGTTAAACTCTGCAATACTCTGGGCTTGTTTAATCAAATAATGATCAATGGTTCATCGCTGACCCAAGACAATATCCCCCGGGCATGTTTGAGCAAGCGACGTACAAATGCAACAGTGATCTTCGTAGATAACGTTAAACAACTGCTAGTCGAGCATGTTTCTGCCTGCTGGGGATATTACTGTTCTTGCACAATATAATCTGACGTCATTAACCTATTGTATGGAGTCAGCCCTACAAAATATATTTGTGCAGACAACACTGAAGACTGTTTCACGTCACATTTAGAAAACTGAATCACTATTTACCCTGAACATCGTTGAAGTTACCAATTACAGTTCCCAGGTATTTGATTTAACAATTACAAATATTAACATATCCCAGTGGGTACGATATTCAAGAGCAACGCCAATTCATCATCATGAGTATTGTATTAACGTCAAGCCAACGCGACTCTTTGATATTTATTGTACTCTCTGGGAAGATGCTCCTGAGTCGGTGACTACCTACTGAAGACTTACCAATTCCTTTCCAAATCAGAGTATTGAAGTATCTGACTCATACTCGACTAACAGAATACTAATTACTTCTAAAATGGCGACAGTTATCGATGCTGACTTCAGCGCTACGAATTCTAAGTTGGCGGCGATTAGTCAATCCGAACACAAAATGCGACATGACAATTTTTTTTTACCCTACAAAAAATAGGATAACACCAAAATACTCAGACTCCTGTTTACCATTTACGTGCCGGTTATGTACGACTACATTGGGACACATTTTTCATGTATGACTGACAGACGTATGCCGCAGTATGATTGATTCTAAGGACAATTTTGTTTTTGGAAATCCTCACAAAAAAAAGTAATTGACATAACTATGATCATCACCCATGACTGACCGATACGCAAGACATGATCATCACCCATGATTGACCGACTCATAAGACATGATCATCACCCATGATTGACCGATACGTTAGACATGATCATCACCCATGATTGACCGACTCATAAGACATGATCATCACCCATGACTGACCGATACGCAAGACATGATCATCACCCATGATTGACCGACTCATAAGACATGATCATCACCCATGATTGACCGATACGTTAGACATGATCATCACCCATGATTGACCGACTCATAAGACATGATCATCACCCATGATTGACCGACTCATAAGACATGATCATCACCCATGACTGACCAATACGTAAGACATGATCATCACCCATGATTGACCGACTCATAAGACATGATCATCACCCATGACTGACCAATACGTTAGACATGATCATCACCCATGATTGACCGACTCATAAGATATGATCATCACCCATGACTGACCAATACGTATGACATGATCATCACCCATGATTGACCGATACGTTAGACATGATCATCACCCATGATTGACTGACACATAAGACATGATCATCACCCATGATTGACCGACTCATAAGACATGATCATCACCCATGATTGACCAACTCATAAGACATGATCATCACCCATAATTGACCGATACACAAGACATGATCATCACCCATGATTGACCGATACTTAAGACATGATATTCACCCATGATTGACCGATACTTAAGACATGATCATCACCCATGATTGACCGATACACAAGACATGATCATCACCCATGATTGACCAATACGAAAGACATCATCACCCACAATTGACCGATACACAAGACATGATCATCACTCATAATTGACCGACTCATAAGACATGATCATCACCCATAATTGACCGACACATAAGATATGATCATCACCCATAATTGACCGACTCATAAGACATGATCATCACCCATAATTGACCGACACATAAGACATGATCATCACCCATAATTGACAGACTCATAAGACATGATCATCACCCATAATTGACCGACACATAAGACATGATCATCACCCATAATTGACCGACACATAAGACATGATCATCACCCATAATTGACCGACACATAAGACATGATCATCACCCATAATTGACAGACTCATAAGACATGATCATCACCCATAATTGACCGACACATAAGACATGATCATCACCCATAATTGACCGACTCATAAGACATGATCATCACCCATAATTGACCGACACATAAGACATGATCATCACCCATAATTGACCGACACTTAAGACATGATCATCACCCATGACTGACCGATGTACAAGACATGAACAACGTACATACTGCCTTGACCACGCCCCTACACGACTGATCCAGCACACACCTGCTTGACAGAACCTGCAGGCTAACCTACCAACAAACATCTCCCTTCCCCAGTGTCAACGACGTTCATGCGACATTAAATCAACGTTGATTTAACGCTGAAACTACGTTATTTAACGTTATTGATCTTATTTTTGCCCAGTAGGGCTTGAATCAATTTCGTGATGGATCCACTTGACCTGAGTTCGGGAACGAATCAGAGAGACTACTGGAAATTCAAATTTGAACTTGACTAAACTATACTACTATAAGAAGACCAGACCTGTAACCTCTGTAACTACATGACTTGGTACCTAAAGAACACACCTGACTTCCCCTAACGACTGTATCTGATCCCTAAAGAACCCACCTGACTTACCTAGCGACCAGACCTGGCTCACTCTGGAACTAATCATTATTTGACTGCACCTCATTTAGTTAATAGACCTGACTCACTTGACGGCTGTACCTGACTTATCTAGCGAGTGCAACTTTGCTAACAGACCTAATTCACCTGGAGACTGTATCTCACTCACCTAAAAGCGACTGAGCCAGACTCATCCTTAAACTCCCTAACAAGTAATTGTAAAGAGCTCATCCAGCGGCTAGACCTGACTCGCCTAGTGACGAAATCCGACAGAAACCGACTCACCCCATACCGAAACTTACCCAGCGGCTGAAACTGTCCAGCCCAGTGAAGTAACTCATCCACAAACTGGCGCCGACTCGCCTATACTGAAGTGACTGGGCCTTCGACAGCACCTGACCAGCGGACCTGACTCCCTCGAGCTGCAGGCAGCTCAATCCTTTCATGGTGTATTTATCAGAATATTTATTTATGTTATTACGTTTTTGTTGATAAAATAAAAGCCTACTTTTTGATTTGTGTTTCTCAATAGCCTCATATTTAAATGCACGTCTTTGTTAAACAAACAGCTTAAACACGGCAATGGTGTTAGATGTTTGATATCGTACCCGTTAGTAAGTTGTTACTGAACGTCAAATACTTGTCTTGGAACTCTCTACGACGTACCAATGCAACAAAGTTATTTATGAAGAGAAAGCGCTAAACCAGTATGACTGTCTTACACTTGGTATATGAACACAAGAAGTTTTTTGACATTGTAACACAACAGCCATCAGTGATGTAACATTGTAACACAACAACCATCAGTGATGTAACATTGTAACACAACAACCATCAGTGATGTAACATTGTAACACAACAACCATCAGTGATGTGACATTGTAACACAACAACCATCAGTGATGTGACATTGTAACACAACAACCATTAGTGATGTGACATTGTAACACAACAACCATCAGTGATGTAACATTGTAACACAACAACCATCAGTGATGTGACATTGTAACACAACAACCATCAGTGATGTGACATTGTAACACAACAGCCATCAGTGATGTGACATTGTAACACAACAACCATCAGTGATGTAACATTGTAACACAACAACCATCAGTGATGTGACATTGTAACACCAAACTTCATCAGAGGCTTCAGTTTACAACACAGCGAAATTCACTAACACAGAATTAAGCCAAAGAAGACACCATAAACAGGCAACATAAATAAACTGGTATAATTGTGCCATAATTGTGATGTATTAACTGATGTTACAGCCAGGCACTATATTAAGTGCCACCACAGCCAGCAATATTGTCAGTACAGTATAACTAGGCACGGTACTATTAACTGACACAATGACTAGTAATTATTAACTGGCATCATTCCAAAGGCACTATTAACTAGCATAACTACATTGTTTATGAATATGAATTTGTTTTCAAGCACGTTAGTATAGTTTATTCTCTGCAAATAGATGTGTTCATTTATATATAAATATAATTTACAAGTTAGAACAGTGCTTCTGCTCTTCATAGCAACACGAACTTTTTAATAACAGTTGAGAAAAAAATATCAATTATAAGAACAACAAAAAACTGATACACTAACATCTGGCAGCTCCCAGGCTAATGTCGCATCCATATCAACAGTAGAACTATTTAAGGCGTTGTTGGGGCCACCGCTAGACAGTTCTTTAGTGGTAAAAGAGAAAATCAGTAGGAGCCATGTGCTTATTTAGTGGCATCTCTTAATGAAGCGCAGAGTACAAACCTGCTTCGACCATTAGTGACGCTGAAAACATCTTCCATTATTAGCACTGTACCTATCTGACTTAATCGTTACCATCGCCTTACTAACCTGACTTCAAAATGATCACCATACAGATGTTGAGGCTCCTGCTCTGTTCAGTAGTTTTCATAACTGGCAACCATGCTGGATCAGTGAAGGCAGGGAAGAATCCAGGTGTCCAAATCTGCCCTGAAGCAGGGGTCATCATGCCTTGCCTGTGTACCGTGATCAGTGATGTCATCATGGAAATGGACTGCTCTGAGGTGGGTAACGAGGAGGAACTAGCCGGAGTATTCAACCAGAATTTTTCAGAGTTCAACTTCTTCAGTCTCATTATAAAAAACAACCCTCACCTGAAGGTGCTGAGAGAGGGTGTCCTAGGTAATTCTGCCTTCAAGCACATCAGGATCTATGATGGTGTGCTAGAAGAAGTGCAAGTGGGCGCACTGACAGCCAGTGCCTCTACGGTCACACACCTTGACTTTTTCAAAAACAATCTTACAGTGTTTCCCTTCAACGATATTCCCTCATTCACTCAGCTCCAGTACCTGGACCTTCAATACAACAACCTGCAGCAGTTACCAGAGATATCATCATTAACAATGGAAACACTTTACTTAAGTAACAATCCTCTGGGTAGTATCCCACTCAAGGCTTTTGCCAACACACCGGCGATCTCTGTCATTCACTTGGCTGAAACTGGGATACGAGAAATAACTCCAGGTAAACCAAAATTCTGTTTTGACTTGGCTCAGATATTGAAAAGGCACCATAGATGAAGATGTATCCAGGTACCATAAAAATACTATCACCATTGCTGCCACTGAAGCAATTTGGGTTCATTCATACTTCAGTTTGCCCATTTGTGGAAGATTTTATATACTGTACCGTATATTAATTCCACGAAAAATCAGCTTTATTTATGGCATCTGAGATTATTTTAAACTTTTAATTCACTGCCTGGTGTAGAGCCCGACTTTCTTGTTAACTGGCATTAAACAGCTTATAGCAAAATGAAAAATAAATTATTTAGAAGCTCGGCAGCAAAATTATACGTGCCAATATTTTCCTGGAAGTTTACAATATATCCCCATCCCTGGAAGTTTACAATATATCCCCATCCCTGGAAGTTTACAATATATCCCCATCCCTGGAAGTTTACAATATATCCCCATCCCTGGAAGTTATCAATCTTCCTAAATTTATCATCAAATTTAGTATATACTGTATTAAAATTTATTGTTGGATCAGCATAATTAGCAAAATATTGATCTATGTGAGTCACCGATTCCTCTTAATTGCTTTTATTTGCAATTTGGGTCTCGGTAGTACAGTAAGACTCATTCTCGAATCATAACCGGGACTCCTGGCTTTAAAGCCCGGGAAATAGTTGGACATGTTTCCTATCACCTAATGCCTCTTTTCATCTAGCAGTAAATTGGTACCCGGGAGTTTGCTAGCTTCCTGTGAGAGTGCATCCTTTGGAGGGTCAGTAGTTCCATCACGGGGGAACTTCAATATACTGTATGCCAATATACTGTGTGTGTGTGTATTATATATATATATTATATATATATATATATATATATATATATATATATATATATATACATACACACACACACACACATATACATACATACATACATACATACATACATACATACATACATACATACATACATAGCAGCAGCAGAAATATTTATTAACCAAGAAAAAATCTTGCATTACATATGCAACTCCTTTATGCCCCCCTCTTACACCAGCCTCCAATATCTGCATTTTCACCATTATTCGTGTTTCTTAGAAGGTTATCTGGCAGGTAATCTCTTATGCATTTAAACTATTAATCCTAAATGTATTTTACATATGGGGGTGTCCTCTAGGAATATTCTCTGAGCTGCCACAGTTGGGAGAGGTGGACTTGTGGAACAACAAGTTGAGCAGTCTACCAGAAGGAACCTTCAATTTCAGCTCAAAGGCCTCAGTCTATGTAGGGAGCAACAACATTACCAAGGTGGATGTCAATGCCATCACAGGTCAGACTCAAAAACAATTTTTTTTTTTTTTTTTTTTGCAGTTTTAGTCTTCATCTCTCCACCAATAATAATAATAAAAAAATTACATGGCATTGTATGCCCATGAAAACTTCATTATATTGTGCAGTCATGTTACAGAATTTATTAAAATCTAAATAAAGTACTGTATTTAGAGTTTTCACACTTATTATGGTCAGTAAAAAGGCTGTGTTATGTGCGAGTTCACACATTGACTAGTTAGTGATGAAATAATAATGATATTTACCCTGACAGGAATGAGTGTTGGCAGAGTGGACATAAGCAGCAACAAACTAGTAGAACTGGAGGAGCAGGTGTGGCATCCACTGCTCCATGTAGGTATAACCCTTGACCCCTCAGGTAAGTCCATGCAAGAACATCCATCCTGTAGGCACCTCACCCTTGATTTTGCAACATACACTTCCCTCGATAAATAAATCTCTCCAAATGTTATTGAGACAGTTTTGCTGGTAACCCATACTATCTTAGGCATCCCAGTCTTCCATAGGTGACCCAGACTTTCCTTGGTACTGTATATAGAATCTATCCTTTTTTGGAGGATAAGTTGACTAACAGTACCTTTATTGGTTGTTTTAATGATGATATTCTATATACTGTATTTGGAACATGCATGATGTGATATTAAGTAGCATGGGGTATTATTTTATACAACATAACATATGATTATAAAATATTGTATAAGCTTGGTTATTCGAAGTCCGCTTTTCCGAATCTTTGGGTTATCCGGCAGTTTTTCAGAAAATGCTGGTGAAAATTTAGAAAGACAGGATGTGGTTGAATGGCTAGAAAGAGATACCAATGACCCAGGAAATGGTGTGATGAGTGAAGAAGATATTCTCCAGTCTGTTACTGGTGAAGTGGATGAAGGAGGAGAAGGAAGACGGCAATGAGAAGTAAAAATGGAGACAATTTTTTTACACATTTTTTGGCATTGCAAAGATGGAATCAGCATGTGCTTTTCTTATTATGTAATAAACAAAACTGAATTTCAAAATTTAGTTTTTTGGCTGCTTTTCAACCATCTGTGAATAAGGCTGAAAAATAGAAGTCACAGCCAAAGGGTTAAACTGTATTAAACTAGTTTAGTAAAATCTTTATTGATACAAGATAGATTTTTCAGTCACAGTTATTTTCTGCCTTTGTGGGAAGGGATCAGATTTTAGGCTCTCTAAATGCAAAGTTTTTAATTTGTTAACAATTCCATCTTAGAAAGATTATTATTTTTTGATTAATTAAACCTTATTTATGATTACCAACTGACAAGCCATTACCAACCTTATTTCACTCGCTAGAAAGCATAAAATACACAAATATTGTAGAAAGGAAATGGCATCCACATTATATCAATATTGACCTCAGACATCCATCATCATGATGTGTGCAATCAGCCTCACATTCCATCTATACCTATAGGAAAGAATACCTGTTTGCCTGTGTGTCTGGCCGAGGTTGGAGGCCAGATGCTTGCAGCTAGCCTGACCCGTTCACACACGCATTCATACCCCAGAATTTGGGGTATGGGGAGAGTCAAAGGCCAGTCATTGTTGGCGTCACAACCACACTTGAAACAAAACTGCCAAAAAAAAATCAGATGGTTCACTTTTGCAGAATGGTAGATGATTGGAACAAGTTGGAACAAGGGATGGTGGAAGCCAAAACCGTCTGTAGTTTCAAAGCGTTATATGACAAGAAGAGTACTGGGAAGATGGAATACCACGAGCATAGTTCTCATCCTGTAACTACACTTCGGTAATTACTTTATGAAATATCATCTAATCTCCCCCCCCCCCCAAGTTAAATTTTCAAGGTCAAATCTGAAATACTGTATTGGTTGTGTTTTCCATCGACTTAGTGTATTTAGCAGTTTCAGTACTGTACTTTGTTCAAATAATTTTTCTGAGGGAGAGAAAGGGTAGAGAAGGAAGGAGAAAGAGGGAGTAGGGGATGTTTGAAGAAAGGGCGAGAGAGAAGGGTGGATAAAGGTGAAGAGGGGGAAAAGGACAAGAGAGGAGGGACAAGTAGAGAGATGAGGGGGGGGGGAATGATTAGGAGACAGGAAGAGGGAGTCTTGGGCACAGCTGGGGATCTCCTCTAGTGCATTATTTGAGTGGAGGACTCGGTTGAGTGATCATTTTTCCTTAATATCTTTCCATTAAGTTAAAAAGAAAGCCTCATTTTTTTAATGAATTTATTTTTTATTTTTTATTTACCGTATTCTACTGCTTTTTTCTCCAGGATGCTAACTCGTGAAGGTGGGAAATGGTAATGATAATAAATGAAAGAACAAATGAACAGATGATGAGGAAATTTAGTCCACTCAAGTTTAGCGATATGGTAAACCCAAGAGTTATGCTTCATAAAAATAAATGCTTCATGCTTCATAAAACAAATATACTGTACGATATAGAAAAATCCACTGCTGATAGCTGTAAATAGGCAAAAACAAAATACTTATCCCATGGGGTAATTTGGAATCACTGACCCATTTATTTACAAATAAATAGAACCTGAAAACATGTCATCTCAATATCACATGCAACATAAATGAAGCGCAACTTAAAAAAAAATCACCTTTTGGTCATGTATGCATGTATGAAACGTCAGTCATTTTTGTGGAGCTGGCCATTATTATATTACAAAATAATTCCATATATGTGAGATGATTTTGTGCTGCAAAAATAAACAAAAACTCAGAGAAACAACTATAAAATCATAAGTGATGAAGCTTCACAATGTAGAACTGTGTTGCGTGTTACACAGACATGTGCATAGGTCATGACTAGCAAACTGTTTTGTGTGGATGATCTTAACACTCTTAGCAACAAATAAGATAAAATATACTTTTACAATGGAAAAATCTAATATACACAGGTGTGTGTGTGTGTGTGTGTGTGTGTGATGCCTAATAGACAGAACTCTCCTTCTTGGCATAGTATGCAGGGTCTGATGTGCCTGACAGACAGAATGATTTTCATTATTTTTAAATATATTACACACAGAAATCACAATAACGTGATGCCTCAATGAACAAATCCACAAGGGCCGTGACGAGGATTCGAACCTAGATCTGTGAGCATCCCAGACGCTGCCTTAATCGACTGAGCTACGACATGGTAAAAAGAGTTGAAACCGAAGTTCTATTGAACTTACTGGATTCTGCAGCCTTTCTGAGACACAAACCAGGGTTTTACACAACTCCCACCATGCACTCGAGCTATGTCAATAGGCCATTCTACCCCTTCGCCCTTCCTTCATTACACACAGAATTTCTGTGTCCAAATAGTGCAGTTCTGGCTATTAGGCATGACATTAATATATATATATATATATATATATATATATATATATATATATATATATATATATATATATACGAACACATATATACAGTATACCAACATACATATATACAGTATACCAATACACATATATACATAACATACTGTACATACATTTGGCTAAATATGATCACATTGTTGGTGTTGTTGATTTTATAGTATAAGGTTTCTATACTTCTATTTTCTTACTCCTGGGATTAAGAAGAGCAATCAAGTTACCAAAACTCATGGTAAAGAAACTAATGATTATTGAAGGGCATATTTTCTACAACATTTCGTTCCTCTCTGGAACAGTGGTGGATGCCAGGATTGTTAATAATCCTGGCATCCACCACTGACCAGAGAAGACTGCAAATACTGGAAGTTATACTCATAAAAGAAAAAAGACCCACCCTGAATATACAAAGTAACAACTTCAATACCTTGCCTACACTCAGACCCAGACCTCATCATACAGCACCAGATAATGACGTCTCTACCCAGTTCTCCCCACCCACCGCCTTACCCAGTGTTTGAGTGGCATCCATTCCCATTATTGCCCTATTTCTCCACATGTGTAATTACTTCACCTTACCCCCCCCACACACTTTCACCTCTTCGTACAGTACTGTATGTTCATTTCTTCATTCCATACTTGAAGATGTTCCAGAGTGGAATGAAACACTCTAGAAAATATACCATTCAGTAATCATTAGTTTCTTTACCAAGAATTTCAGTAATTTGACTGCTCTTCTTAATCCTGAAAGTAAAAAAATAGTTAAGAAGCATAGAGAATTTATACTATAAAAATCAACACCACCAGCAATGCAGTCATCTTTAACCAAATATGCTTAAAGGAATTCCTGCCGCCCAATTATTTGCGTGCGTGCGTGTGTGTGTGTGTGTTTTATATATATATATATATATATATAATCTTTGGACAACACCCACCAGTGGGACTCGAACCCAGAAAGCACAACTACCTTCCAGTAGCTGGCATAACTAGTATGCTTTAACCCACTACGCCATCAGACCTTACAAAAGAAGTAGATAGTTCGAGATATATATATCTCAAACATCTCTACCTCCCGAAGGCACCAGATGAGTGAGGGGTCAGTCTGCAATTTTCGTCAAGCCACTGTCAATGTGAGAGAACTCGTGTCCAGCTTATAAGCCTATACTTGCATAAACCACAAGTGAAGATAAACAATCTTTGGACAACACCCACCAGTGGGACTCGAACCCAGAAAGCACAACTACCTTCCAGTAGCTGGCATAACTAGTATGCTTTAACCCACTACGCCATCAGACCTTACAAAAGAAGTAGATAGTTCGAGATATATATATCTCAAACATCTCTACCTCCCGAAGGCACCAGATGAGTGAGGGGTCAGTCTGCAATTTTCGTCAAGCCACTGTCAATGTGAGAGAACTCGTGTCCAGCTTATAAGCCTATACTTGCATAAACCACAAGTGAAGATAAACAATCTTTGGACAACACCCACCAGTGGGACTCGAACCCAGAAAGCACAACTACCTTCCAGTAGCTGGCATAACTAGTATGCTTTAACCCACTACGCCATCAGACCTTACAAAAGAAGTAGATAGTTCGAGATATATATATCTCAAACATCTCTACCTCCCGAAGGCACCAGATGAGTGAGGGGTCAGTCTGCAATTTTCGTCAAGCCACTGTCAATGTGAGAGAACTCGTGTCCAGCTTATAAGCCTATACTTGCATAAACCACAAGTGAAGATAAACAATCTTTGGACAACACCCACCAGTGGGACTCGAACCCAGAAAGCACAACTACCTTCCAGTAACTGGCATAACTAGTATGCTTTAACCCACTACGCCATCAGACCTTACAAAAGAAGTAGATAGTTCGAGATATATATATCTCAAACATCTCTACCTCCCGAAGGCACCAGATGAGTGAGGGGTCAGTCTGCAATTTTCGTCAAGCCACTGTCAATGTGAGAGAACTCGTGTCCAGCTTATAAGCCTATACTTGCATAAACCACAAGTGAAGATAAACAATCTTTGGACAACACCCACCAGTGGGACTCGAACCCAGAAAGCACAACTACCTTCCAGTAGCTGGCATAACTAGTATGCTTTAACCCACTACGCCATCAGACCTTACAAAAGAAGTAGATAGTTCGAGATATATATATCTCAAACATCTCTACCTCCCGAAGGCACCAGATGAGTGAGGGGTCAGTCTGCAATTTTCGTCAAGCCACTGTCAATGTGAGAGAACTCGTGTCCAGCTTATAAGCCTATACTTGCATAAACCACAAGTGAAGATAAACAATCTTTGGACAACACCCACCAGTGGGACTCGAACCCAGAAAGCACAACTACCTTCCAGTAGCTGGCATAACTAGTATGCTTTAACCCACTACGCCATCAGACCTTACAAAAGAAGTAGATAGTTCGAGATATATATATCTCAAACATCTCTACCTCCCGAAGGCACCAGATGAGTGAGGGGTCAGTCTGCAATTTTCGTCAAGCCACTGTCAATGTGAGAGAACTCGTGTCCAGCTTATAAGCCTATACTTGCATAAACCACAAGTGAAGATAAACAATCTTTGGACAACACCCACCAGTGGGACTCGAACCCAGAAAGCACAACTACCTTCCAGTAGCTGGCATAACTAGTATGCTTTAACCCACTACGCCATCAGACCTTACAAAAGAAGTAGATAGTTCGAGATATATATATCTCAAACATCTCTACCTCCCGAAGGCACCAGATGAGTGAGGGGTCAGTCTGCAATTTTCGTCAAGCCACTGTCAATGTGAGAGAACTCGTGTCCAGCTTATAAGCCTATACTTGCATAAACCACAAGTGAAGATAAACAATCTTTGGACAACACCCACCAGTGGGACTCGAACCCAGAAAGCACAACTACCTTCCAGTAGCTGGCATAACTAGTATGCTTTAACCCACTACGCCATCAGACCTTACAAAAGAAGTAGATAGTTCGAGATATATATATCTCAATATATATATATATTGTTCAGATATATATATATTCGAGTCCCACTGGTGGGTGTTGTCCAAAGATTGTTTATCTTCACTTGTGGTTTATGCAAGTATAGGCTTATAAGCTGGACACGAGTTCTCTCACATTGACAGTGGCTTGACGAAAATTGCAGACTGACCCCTCACTCATCTGGTGCCTTCGGGAGGTAGAGATGTTTGAGATATATATATCTCGAACTATCTACTTCTTTTGTAAGGTCTGATGGCGTAGTGGGTTAAAGCATACTAGTTATGCCAGCTACTGGAAGGTAGTTGTGCTTTCTGGGTTCGAGTCCCACTGGTGGGTGTTGTCCAAAGATTGTTTATCTTCACTTGTGGTTTATGCAAGTATAGGCTTATAAGCTGGACACGAGTTCTCTCACATTGACAGTGGCTTGACGAAAATTGCAGACTGACCCCTCACTCATCTGGTGCCTTCGGGAGGTAGAGATGTTTGAGATATATATATCTCGAACTATCTACTTCTTTTGTAAGGTCTGATGGCGTAGTGGGTTAAAGCATACTAGTTATGCCAGCTACTGGAAGGTAGTTGTGCTTTCTGGGTTCGAGTCCCACTGGTGGGTGTTGTCCAAAGATTGTTTATCTTCACTTGTGGTTTATGCAAGTATAGGCTTATAAGCTGGACACGAGTTCTCTCACATTGACAGTGGCTTGACGAAAATTGCAGACTGACCCCTCACTCATCTGGTGCCTTCGGGAGGTAGAGATGTTTGAGATATATATATCTCGAACTATCTACTTCTTTTGTAAGGTCTGATGGCGTAGTGGGTTAAAGCATACTAGTTATGCCAGCTACTGGAAGGTAGTTGTGCTTTCTGGGTTCGAGTCCCACTGGTGGGTGTTGTCCAAAGATTGTTTATCTTCACTTGTGGTTTATGCAAGTATAGGCTTATAAGCTGGACACGAGTTCTCTCACATTGACGGTGGCTTGACGAAAATTGCAGACTGACCCCTCACTCATCTGGTGCCTTCGGGAGGTAGAGATGTTTGAGATATATATATCTCGAACTATCTACTTCTTTTGTAAGGTCTGATGGCGTAGTGGGTTAAAGCATACTAGTTATGCCAGCTACTGGAAGGTAGTTGTGCTTTCTGGGTTCGAGTCCCACTGGTGGGTGTTGTCCAAAGATTGTTTATCTTCACTTGTGGTTTATGCAAGTATAGGCTTATAAGCTGGACACGAGTTCTCTCACATTGACAGTGGCTTGACGAAAATTGCAGACTGACCCCTCACTCATCTGGTGCCTTCGGGAGGTAGAGATGTTTGAGATATATATATCTCGAACTATCTACTTCTTTTGTAAGGTCTGATGGCGTAGTGGGTTAAAGCATACTAGTTATGCCAGCTACTGGAAGGTAGTTGTGCTTTCTGGGTTCGAGTCCCACTGGTGGGTGTTGTCCAAAGATTGTTTATCTTCACTTGTGGTTTATGCAAGTATAGGCTTATAAGCTGGACACGAGTTCTCTCACATTGACAGTGGCTTGACGAAAATTGCAGACTGACCCCTCACTCATCTGGTGCCTTCGGGAGGTAGAGATGTTTGAGATATATATATCTCGAACTATCTACTTCTTTTGTAAGGTCTGATGGCGTAGTGGGTTAAAGCATACTAGTTATGCCAGCTACTGGAAGGTAGTTGTGCTTTCTGGGTTCGAGTCCCACTGGTGGGTGTTGTCCAAAGATTGTTTATCTTCACTTGTGGTTTATGCAAGTATAGGCTTATATATATATATATATATATATATATATATATAAAGATTTAAAAAGCATTAAGTCCATGACCAATTTTTTCCACTTATCCAATACAGTATGAGGAAAATATGCTAGTATATCCAGTATAAATGTAATTAAATTGCATGGATTACTTCAATAACTAGGTGGAAAGAGTCACATTTCACATGGAGGCACAAACAGTGTAGTCAGCAGCATCCGGTACAGGACGTGATGATAGGAACAGAACGGTATACACTGGAATAGTTGGACTGACCTCACAAGCAAACATTTATTAACATTCCAAACACATCTTAGAATAATGGAGGGGATTGGTATCACAAAAATGGGATTATCAATGAATGCTTATATTAGTACTTCTGTTTATCTCAACTTTGCATAATAAAAAACCCCCATTGTACCACTAACTCTTAAGTGTGAATTTACAGCTGGTCATGGATATTTTGTTAATATGTGCAGACTTTAAAACTTGAAAACCTTACAACCATCACCGTTTCTCTTTCTCTGCCTGTTTTATGTTTCCTCAATGTTAATCTTCCTCTTTTACCTTTAGATTATAATTTTAATAGTATGCATAATGTGTATACTGGTACTGTGCTGTAATTACTGTACTGTACTTTTAAGTCAAAATTTCAAAATCTCTATCATGCTAGATGGACCTGTGTTGTGACAATATACAGTACTGTAATTATAAAGTGTATGTAGAGGCCAAGACCCAAAATGTATTAAACCATTCTACATAGAATAATATCTACTTGACTCCAAAAAAATGATAAAGTGATTATGGAAAAAGTCAACAGCAAAAATTTTTAAATTTATTTCTGCTTTTAAAGAGAGATTATCAGCACAAGCCTATTTACTAAGCAATGCATTCTCTTAACATTAATAATTAACTTGAAAGATCATAGTCAAGTAATCATTCTTACTGTCCATGCAAGTGCCAAGGAATCTTAAAAATCCCAAAAATTCAACTCATATATTACTCAACCTCATGTGCAGGTCATCTTACTACTAGAAACACAAATTATTATAACCTTATTTAGTGTTAATGAGATCTGAAACAATTTTTGAGATATATACAAGAGTTGTTACATTCTTGTACAGTCACTAGTACACGTAGCGTTTCGGGCAGGTCCCTGGAATACGATCCCTGCCGCGAAGAATCGTTTTTACAACCAAGTACTCATTTTACTGTTGAGTTAAACAGAGGCTACAGTTAAGGATTTTCGCCCAGTAAATCCTCCCCGGCCAGGATACGAACCCATGATAAAGCGCTCGCGGAATGCCAGGTGAGTGTCTTACCACTACACCACGGAGACTGATTTATTTTAAAAACAATTTCTTCCAATGACCTAAACTACAGTGGCATATCTCCTTTAGAAGTTTGAGAACACTGTATTGAGATTCCAATAATAAAATTATATACAGTATTTAGCTTTCATCTGTCTCTCTCTCTGTTCTCTCTAAAATCATCTAAATGGCTTGCCATTAAATAAAAGCTTCTGGGTTGATCTACCTAATCATGACTAATGCAGGTATTTTTAACCATTCAGAGGCAAGGGTCCAATCATAGCCAATTCGTAGAAGTCTTGGCCCACCTTCAGTAATTATTGTATTAATTTATGAAATACAGTGAATAACGAATTTAATCCGTTCCGTCGCCGTGTTTGTCGTGTGAAATGCTCATGTTTCAAAACGAATGTTCCCATTTAACCACTGTGATGTGCTGAGTTTATTGTGAAATTCCCCTAGTGTGCATGACATCGTGTTCCCCCAAAATCCTCTTTCTTTGTAAAATGATAAATTCCCTTCCCTGATCATGTCTATGTAAAAATAAATGCCAAATTTCACTTACTTCAGCTGTGGGGACATGGACAAGGTGCGCTGTGACGTCATCAGGGGCTGGTCGCCCGTGTGTGAAGCTCCCAGACATGGTTGCACTGGCCATTCGAGCACCACGTGAATGGCCCGCGCTCGCACCATATATTGCCACAAATATATTTTCAATTATTTGTTCTATGTATTTCCAATGCAGTTTCATTTGTTTATCGTATATGATGCATATTTGTGACCTTTACAATATGTATACAATAGAACGTTCATAATGTTCCATGGAACTTTGATACATGTGTCAGTAATATGTCCACAATAAATGTTTATTGTCACAATATTACTTGGTAAAAAATCACTAAAATTACAATATGTACAGTTTCACACACTATTTACACAGTAACACACTGTATTACACACTCAGTACTTTGGAAGTGAGTAATAATCAACGAAGTAGTCCATGGTACACAACGCGACTTTGCTCTCGTTGCACCAGGTACAGATAGATTTTCGCTTCCTGTTTCTTCGTTTTGTGTGCTTGCAAATAACGTACTCGCGTAGACCCTTGGCTTTAGTACTTGTAGGTGGTATGTTGCCAACCTTGTAAAGCATAAGGTAGTCTTGAAAAGATTATAGGAAAAGATCAATTTGTAAGGTAGTCTTGAAAAGATCACTTTGTAAGATCCCACACAGGTTGAGATTCAGCTACCCTCAAAGAGTGTCCGTCAATCTAAGAGAGATTCTGGAATTCTGGAAGAGATGCAGCCAGCCTCAAAGAGTATTCGTCAGTCAAGAAGAGATTCAACTAATCTTGAAAATATCTATGGAAAACACCACCATGGAAGCCGCTAACACTGTACATCTATGCTACTTGTATCAGATGCATCATCACTGAACGCAGAAAATGATTCATCTATGTATCATCTATATAAATTGGAGATGGCATAGATAGCCACGGGTGGCGCTCAGAGCTACAACGGGATGCATTCGCTGTATCGTCCTCATAGGTGCTGCATTACTTGCATCTGACCATTGTGTTAGGTCCTTATTGAGCCTAGCTTCACCAATATCATGACCTTTATGTTCTTCAAACAAAAAGGTCCGAATTTCACCGACAGAGCGCAATCTTTCAACACCGTGTTGGACAGGTGTTTGGGAGCCAGAGACACGTGTGCCACAAATGGTTGCTCACTCAGTACTAACTCAGCCAGCAGCCTTAGCCTTTTATATTTGTTATAGCAAAAGGATCGTTCGGTGAAAAAGCAGTTGAAACAATTTGAAAAACGGAGAAATGCCATAAATGTTCATTCAGTGTTTGTCGGATAGGCTACTCCAACATGACAATCTTTCTTTGTTTCAAATGTGTTCCATTTGTTTGGTATTTTTCATTTACATCTCAATAATGGAGCAGCCTACCCGACAAACACTGAAAGACCTTTATGGCATTTCTCCGTTTTTCAAATTGTTTCAACTGTACTTTATTTCTTTTTTTCTTTTTTTAATTTAAGAAACATGGAGCAGTCTACCTGCCGAACACCGAACAAACCTTTTTGACATTTGTTGTATTTCAAAAACTTTCAATTCTCTTTTCTACAAAAAAGTCATTGCTTTGCAACATCTCAGCAGTCCCCCCTTTATATCCCAGTATCATTAGCATCTTTAAACAAAAACAACATAAATTTACATTGAAAATGTGCAATGTGAGGGGGGAGGGGGGAAGGGTACTCAGCCGGAAACCCTCTTAAGTGATATGTCCTACTTCTAGCAGTAGACGTATTGCATAGTTTAGTTAAAATTACCTTAACTCATCTACACTTAATTTCATACGATGTAAGGCTTTAAAGTTTAAATTCACTCTGCACAACTGAGTTACTGGAATGCTGTAACGCACGTGTATGAAACGCACCCGGGGAATGCAGCAGCACCAGGGCTATTGCGTCGTTTACAGACTGATAGGCCACCGTAATCGCTGACTTTGGTATGTTATGGTTAATGCTCTCTGAGTTGTAGGGATAGCTAATTTTGTGCAACAGATGGTACTTGCCTAGAGTGGACTTCTCGCGGAGGTGTGATGGGCGAGCACTTGAAATTCCCAAACGGGGGGCCTTCGAAAGGGCACGCAATATGCCCCAATTGCAGTTCCCATGCGAGCAGGGGTTCCACAATGTGCGGGCTGGCTGTTGTGGAGGGCGGATTTGTTGAGAAGGGTGAGAAGGGTGTCCCTCGACCCTCAAACCCGAGGTGGAAGCCCTCCTTGAATCCTGTGACTAAGAATTCGCATAGGTGGCCCATTAGGTAACAGTCAAGGGCGTCTGACTCCACCGTCATTGGGACGGGTATTCCTGTACTTCCGATTCATTTGTTGTGTTCTGCTAATGAAAGCACGGGGTGTACGTGAGGCGCACTGTTCGTGAGCTGGGTGCTGCCCATGATAATGCGGGAAGTCGTGCTTGAAGGTACAGTCTTGGCTCTTGCAGCAGATGCCTCGTGAGTGGAAGGCGTAGCAATAATCTGCGGGGACCCTGTCGGACTGCCAATAAGGGGGAGGGTGACATGTTGAGCGTATGTTGCTGTGCCTTGTTGCAGTAGACCGGCTGTGGTAGATGCCCTGTATGGAACGCAATTCGAGGTCCAATCTGTATGTCCACTATTCAGTTCACATATTGAATTAGTGAATTAGCAAAAATAGCATAGGAACAAATTGAAAACTAAAGAACATATATTAGGCCTAATATATGCTGTCTTAGGTCTAATATAGTACATATTGTATGCGCTCATATATCTGGAGCCCATTAAACTGGACCTTTTGGTTATTTGGCCAAAATTAAGTCCAAATTTTTGTCTGCTAAATTTTGCCATACCGGGACAGAAAATTGAAAAGTCGGGTATTTGACTGGATGACCGAGAATGGCATCGAGTCATACCGGGCTAATCCCATACTAAAGTTGCTGGAGGCACGGGAAATGGGAGGTGTTGGGGTAAGTGGTGTTTGGGTAAGTAGTGTCAGAGAACAGGGAATAGTCAAGAGGGAGTATTTGAGTCATTAGAGGCATGTGATTACTTTATAATAATAAACCCAGTATTGAATGTAATGAAATGCATATTTCTGGGTGAGGCCTGGTGATGCTACTATGCTGATATAGTGCTAAACTACTAGGTGCTATCAGTTGTTTTGTTCTTTTAGGTCTAACAGGGACCATGAGCTAGAATCTGACCCCTTCTAAAGAGGTGCAGAGAGCAGTGGCACATATAATAAAACCTCTATGAATCTTTATCATGACTGCCACCCACTGTGAAGGCACCCAGAAAAATCAGGGGCACCAAACAGATCACTGCTGATTAAAAATAATAAGACTGCAGCTGCAAAACTGCCGAAAGAACTCTAAACAACGTAAACAAACTCAAAAATTTTTGAAACTAGTATCAGATCATTTGCCCCATCTCCCCCAACTCATTTCAGGGAAGGAGGGAGACAACCAGGGTTCAGCCAGCTGCTCCACCCTCAGTTCTATGATGATGGAACACCCGATACCCAAGGGAAGGGAGGATGTTAGGAAGCCACCAGGACTCATCCAGAAATATGCATTTCATTACAGTACAGTATATTCAAAGCTGGTTTTCTGGGGAAAGCCCCTTGTGGTTCCCTGAAGCTATCCACCCATGGAGAAGGAAACCAAAATGGGCATCAACCAGGGAGGGAAATTCAGGAGAAAAACAGACAAACTGAGAAAAACAGCACAAACCACACAAGAGCATCAGAGACCATGCAAGAAACTGCACCATCAGACAGCAAGACGACTCCTAAACACCTGTGCCTGAGCGGCCCAGCTCACAAAACAGGACGGCAGAAGAGCGGCCAAACCTCTAAATTGGTGTGACAACAAGACCTCCGGCCAACCAACAACTAACCTAGCGAACCCTACGACAAAGGCCTAAGACCATACCAGAGTGCCGGGACCTAGGCAAGGCAAGCAGGCCCAAGAACCTAGCCCTCCCAAAAAAATCTTTTGTGCCCAAAAAGAAGCCAAGAACCTGTCCGCAAAGCCAGCAGAGAAGCAGCAAAGGCGAACAACCAGGGTGTAAGGGAAGACCTCAGGCTAATGAGAATGACCCCTGGAGACAACCGAACCACAACACAGAGCCAAGACAAAACTGGCGACACAAAGGAGGCAGCAGGGCCGCTATTGAACACCACACAAGACGTACCCCACCCTCTGGCCAAACAAATGAAGCCAAAGAACAAAGGGGACCCCCTTCATAAGTGAACCAACTCCAACTCTGCTAGAAAGGAGGAGTCTGCAACAAAGACAAAATGCACACCAGGGTCAAAAAACAAAACCCCCAGTGCTGGAGGAGAGCAATGCACACCCACCTGAAAACTAGAAGAACAAGGGGACATCGGAAGGCCAAGACATGGAAACAAGCCAAAGCTGTGGAAGAGCAGGTCAGGGGCATGCAAGACTGGGAGCAAAATGGAGAAAAGACCACATGACCCCAAAACACAGACCTCATTAGCTCCGCCAATGACACGAGGTGAATTGGCAAGAGACTCCGACTAATAACAGATGGACAAGAAAAGTCTGAGCATGGTGTGATCTCCACAGTAGAACAAGGAAAAGAAGAGTGGTGAAAAGCACCATGAACCCCACTGTCGCTGCACAGAAAATGCACGTGGAATACCTTCCAAAAAGCCACCATCCCTCAACAAGGACAGTAAGAAGAATGCGTAAAACACACCAATGCAAATAGCGGAGGGAAGTATGAAACATTTGCAAATATTTTGCAAACATTTTTAAACAAAGCTGCAATTGCCTCATTTAGGAGAAAAGTTATACATAGGCTTTGTTTATTTTGCATTTTTCATACCTTGTACAGTATGTTAGCAAATAAGAAAAAGTTATCATATTTGTGAAAGTTTTGGATATTTTACTTGGTGTTAATATCTGTGGTTATGGTAGGGGTGCCACATAATCTGTGTCCTGTCTAGCAGTAGACCAATGATAACTACATACAAGATCTTGAGGTGAATCTTGAGGTCCCCACGGCCTAGTTGAGGACCGGGCCGCGAGGACGCTGAGCCCCGAAATCATTGCAAGGAATAGATGAAATAGATAAAGGAGGCCTATTTATATTCAAAAGATGTAGGACGAGGAGACATCAGTAAAAGCTGGACTTGCAATCAAGTTAATGAAATGTAAGGAAGTTCTCATTCCCTGTATGGGTGGTTGGCAAGTAGATCGCTAGGTATAAATAGCTAGGAGGCGGGGCACAAAGAGCTAGATCTCACTGCCCCATAGTCACTGATAGGCAAGCATTTCCCCTAGTGCATTACACCACCTACCAGGGAGCACTTGCACAATAACTTGTGTTCGCAAAAAATTAATATAGGTCTTACAGGGCTTATCACACAGTACTATACAGAGCTTTCCACCGGAACCTTGAGTCAACTTCTACCCTCCTTATGCGACACTTCCTCCGTTTATCGAGAAATTATTCTATAATGGCACTTCATTATTTAAAGACGAAGTATATGAAACAAGTCTAAACACCTAGGTCATGTCATAATCTTAAATATGGAAGTATCACACAGAATAAAAATAAAGAACTTGAGAAAAATATCTTGAGAGCTCCCTTGTTTATGCACCACAATTTTACAAAGTACATTTTGAAAATATTTCTCCATTAGTCTGTTAAGACATGAATTCTGTTCAGTAACTTAAAGATTCGTCACCTAATTCACTTGAAGTTTTGTGGAAGTGATTTTTACATCAATGTACAGATGAAGTTAAGTTCATTACCACTAAATTCATGTGCATTATTACAGATTATTATTTACCATTTGCAAAGCTTTTTCACATTCATAAATAATTAGTGCCACAGAGTACTTGGTCACAGTATTCTCAACTAAGATTTGCTTAAATGATTAGCTAACAACAGGTGTTTACACACAACTTGCTCCTCCTTTACATAGATATATCTTGAAATATAATACTGAAAATGTCTTCTTAACTTAATTATCACTATGAGTAAACATAGGATATTTGGTTATAATTGTACTCTATGAATAAAAAATCCATTCCAATAAATATTTTCTGTAATTGAAGTCAGTAAACATACAATGGCAATGCCCAAGAGCTGCAAAAACAAAGCTGAACTCATTAGTTCCAAACCGATGCCCGAGGCATTTGGCGATGTCACAAATATGCTGGATTAAAGCAGCAGTTTGCATTATCATTACAACTATGAAATGAATTTTCTAGTCACATTATATTAAAACTAAACTTGGAAAGCCCATCTTTATTTGTCTTGCAGTGACAGGCTTCTTCCGTGTGAAACAATCATTAATATGTGCAATAAAAAGTAGATAACTTGGTTACAAAGATTTTAAACATATTTTATGAATTCTTACAGCATATGATATTTATCATGGATTATAAATAATAATTTAAATCAAAGGTTTTCAAAATCAAATCTATTTCCCATTATAGTAAACACATGTTGGAAACTCAAGCAAGTTTTATAACTCTATATAAAAACCCCAAGTTCAAAATTCATGTATTTCCATAAATTATACACACATCAACTTTCCATATCCTTAAAAGTACCAGGTAACTCGGTGATCTTAATGCAAAAGTATAAATAATAAGATGCTGTATTCTGATGGTGCAACATCTCTGTCAGTCCTAGCTCATCGTACAAAATAAACGTTGTACACCAGCAATTACAGCTTCAAGCTAAACATTCTCCAGTACAAAGTTACACTTGAAAAATGCAGTAGGATTTTTAAGCTTATATTTTACCTGCGTCTCAAACTTATCTCTAACACGGGAGAATTCCATCATATCCCGGGGCTTCTCGTGACGCCAGAGCTCATCAAAGGAAAAAAATAGATAACAGTAGAATTGATGGAACGCCCGCACTTCTGGAAACCTCTTGGAGGCATTGTAGAAGTGAATTTTAGCATCGCCACTTTGAAGAAGGCTGTAAGCCATGTGGGTGATGTTGATGCCAACAATGGCGAAGGAGTACCTGAAGAATCGTTGACACATTAAAATTATTATATGGATGTAGGGCAAGAGATGCTAACACAGTAAAATTCTCTCTATTTTTATGCCCATTACAGAAGTTGAAAGAATGATGTAACACTTTTCCATTGGTAAGACTACAGCTGATATATAATGAAAGGAAGCACTCAATTTTATTTAGCCAATTTCACGAGTCAGAGAGACAAGTCTCTACAGTGGAATGGGTCAACTAAACAAGTTGGGTTTGCTGCATGTGTTCGCCAGAGAAGTTATTACAGTGGCATATATCAGCCAAAGGTATAGCTACATTAGTATATGTCAGCTAGATGAGTTGGTACAGCAGAATAGGACAGCTAGATGAGCTGGTACAGCAGAATGAGAAAGTCAGATGAGCTGGTACAACAGAATGGGTCAGTCAGTACCACTGAGAAGATTCTCACGAGTGCTGCTGAGTATCGCAGACATGTCAGTGTGAATTACACCACATATGTAGCTATACCATATGTAGATGATTGTATTTTATGCATGCAAATTGATGCCCGAGTATCCCCACTGGAACACCAGAAACCCCTTTGTAATGTCACCAGTGTTAGGAACTGTACAGTGAAGTGAATCCTGTAAACGTATGTTAAGATAGGGTATACCTCAAAAGGGCCAGGTATCACTCAGAAAGACGGTTACATATCACTCTCTGATTAGTTTTGTGTATGATACCTCGAAAAGCAAATAGAGGTAACTTCAAACTGTATACTGTACGTAGAATTAAGCAAGCAATATGTTTTTACATTAATACACTATGTAGGATCTACAAACCCTTCTCCCTCATATTAAACTGTCATCCCCATCTGGGAACCATTTACATGCTAGCAACTACTGTACATCTATAAATTGCATGTGAACCAAGACTAGCTCCCTGCCAAAATCACAGTTGAACAGACACGACCAATAATCCAGTACAATTCATATGGATGTCTCTGTTGCAAGTGGTTAACTGCTGAGGGAACAGATACCTCCTACATGGGTAACACAGTTCACTTGTGTAGTCTTACCCCACCCTTTTTCCTGGAATATGATCGATCAATCAGCTTACAACCCTGTTGGCAATTGTTGTTGGGTGAACATGGAGTGAACAGTTAAGGATTCGTGATCAATCATCTACCTTCCCAGAGGGACGAGTTTTTAGCAGACTAGTGGCATTCAATCTTGAATCATTAGAAGAGTTGGGGGAGACATGATTATAACATATAGTACAAAATTTAGAGGGCAGACAAGGGCAATATTTGGAATGGTGGTACTGAACACCAACAATGGGAGGTAAATGGAAATTCAGTGGGTCTACCTAAATAGGCCACAGACAAAGATTTATTCTAGTGTTATAACAATGAACAAATAAAACTCAGTATGAAGAGAAGTGATGGAAGTAGGCTCCATACACAGCTTTAAATGTAGGTATGATAGATCTCCATAGGCTGAATAGGTTCAATAGGCTACCTGCACATTAGTTGACTGAAGACAGGAACAAAGGGCCAAAGCTGAACCCACAACAAGCACAATTAGGCAATTACTAATGCACTAACCAATCTAAGTAAGTAATTATCAAAAGAAGGCACCAAACCGGGAAGGCTATGTAGCACTATCAAATATGCGGAATAATCAGAGGGCGCTAAATATCACCAAGGATGCCAATACGAGAACAAAAACGCAAAAGGCGAACGATATCAAAAGTATCCGAGTCACCAAGAATTCTATTGAGGGACAGGTGACCGCGAGGGGCGGTCGGAAAGCAAGACACACGCTCGTCCTGGAACTAACCAATCTAAGCATCCTCCCAACCCACCCACACTATTTGCAACAAACTCACTTTCCCATCGACTCCTTTTCAACTCGCATTGGTATCCCTAATGTATCCCTATATTTTGCTTTTTGGGGGGGTTAATTTTTCTTGACTTCACTTCAATACACATTGACCTACAACTTTCACATATTCGAGTACGAATGCCAAGCAATGTTTATTAAAGTATACAAGAAAATTCATTATATAGAAGTACAGAACCATATTCACCGTCAAGAACCTTAACTTCATTTTTCTGTATGAGCAGAATTTTCAACTTTGAGACACCATAAAAAATTCAGTTTCAGACCGATTCCCATCATTTTTACATATTATGTGCACAGTTCTTAGTTCTAAGGTTTATTCTTGTTCGTTTAGTCATAAAGCCATAACGTTTGGAGTTATAAAATTTTTGCATCTAAATTTTGCACATATCTGGATGGCCACATTGAAAAAATGTTTTACAGTAAACTACATTCTCAATATTTTATCTAGAGGAACATGACCGTTATATGCCATTCAGAGACCATAATGAATAAAATAACAGTTGGTCACATTTTAACATTTTTATAACGAATTTGAAATTGTAAATTTTTTTCTTTTTTTTTTCTTTTTTAACTTTTTTCCTGTTCATGGTATGATGTTGATCCATTGGGAACAGTTGTAGCATTTACCATGAAGATATTATTCACAAAAAATGGAGTGTCTTTAAGGAATTTCTAGTGCACAGTCACCGGGCCCCTTTAGTGTAACTGATCAGTAATCACTGCTTAGGAATTTATTTAACAGTTTCACTTAGTCGATTCTACAGGACTAGTTGAGTTGTGATTATTTTTGTATCATAATTCTTGAGTATTGCCGATTTACTATGTCAGTGTTTACAAACCCTGAGATTACAGCAAACATTGTTATGTCTAAATTCTAACATCTCACAAAATGTTAAGTACTTTATCCGTATCACAGAACTGTACTGTTTCTCAGAATTTTTATGGAATAAAAGTATTAGACAGTGAATCACAATAATGTGACTGAAGATATGAAATCCAAAAAGTATTGATATCGAGGAATAAGGCAGTATTGGTCAAAACATTGGTATACTGTACCTCTAGCACACTATTTCTTTAACTTTTTTCATAATAACTGAAAATGTTAAAATTTATATTTCTTTTTGTATAGCGGATAAACACAGAAAACGCATACTGTAGTGCATATTGATTTCGCATAGTCGAGGACGCTACGCCTGTTAAGCTCATCAAGGTTCCCCCAAACCTCCGACCATCCTCAGGCTGCAACCCATAATAGGTGTCTAACTCCAAGGTATTCATTTAATGCTATATGAAAAGAGGCATCAAGTAAAGGAAGCTTGCCATAAATAGTCTTTTGAAAAAAAATAGAAAATCAAAAGGACATAGGTGGTAGCTGGAAAAGCAAGTAAGCCATAATGATATACAAAAACACACGTGCAGTAAGAGTAGCCAACAAGTGGAATGCACTGATGGAACAAATAAAATCTCTCTCCATCTACAGCAGAATTGAGGTGGGAAAAGGAGGGCAAATCTTGAACACGGTCATAATTAAGTAAATCTTCACAACACGGTCATAATTAAGTAAATCTTCACTAAGTTAAAGTGGACAATATAATTTGGTGCTCATGAAAAGTAATATATTTCATTCAAATACTATGTACTCACCCATAGTGAGGGTGTTGTGAGCGTGCCAGAACATGTCGGGCAGCGGTTGGATACTGCTCTGCGAAAAACCTATTGGATAAAAGATATAGGTAAATTTTGGCATAAAAGCTGTTACTGTACACTGAAATTTGTGTAGTGAAAGACTATGCTAGAAATCAATAAAAGAGAGCAGGAATACTAAATATTAATTTAACCTTTAGATGGCAGTCACTGTCACATGTTGATTTCCAGGAAAATAGGGTTATTGTCTCATGATTTATATAATTATTGTCTGGGTTTTATATGTATGATGCAAATAAGGATATAATAGGTATATGTGCATGTAATGGAGTGTAATGGAGTTTACCTTAACCCTTGAAAAAATCCTGCTCTCATTTCGTGGTCAGTGGTCTCATTCACCACTAGGTGAATGTGGTTATCGTCACGTGACGATTGTCATCTGCGGGTGCCAAATGTTGGTGCTTACACCTTTGTTTCAATCTATACTCTTGCACAAATAGTGCCAATTAGGCCATATATTATACCCCAGGGCCCAACACCATTGAATATTATGTTCATATTCTTTTCACTACTCTAACTGATATACCCCACTACAACCAGTATAAAGTAATCATCAATTGAAACATTATTATGTGTTATGTGAATTAAGTGAGTTATCAAGTTATTCAACACACATACTCTTGTAAATGACAAACAATCAGTGAAACATTGAAAATAACACAGGAAGTGTCAGCAAAGTCAGGCACTGGGTGTTGACAAGTGCCAGACACAGCACCCACACAACCTTTCAAAGTGCCTCCACTCAGTGAAACCATAAATATTCATTTATTTTTGTGTTTTTCTTACATTTTGCATACAAATTAATAATTCTATAATGAAAGATTATTTCTTGGAATTTTTTTTTAGCAATAGGTGCATAGGTGGGTATGCCCATTTTCCACAGGCACTGTCCAAGGGTTAAAAATACACATACAGCAGAACCTCCAAAGGCTAAGCCTCTTCCATTCACCTGAGCTGTGAATGAGCTATGCCTCATGTTGGCAAAACCTTCTAAATAACTGGACAAATTATTCCTTTCATGTTTATTGCCTCTCATCTCAGGAATTCAGATTCCATCTAGATTTGTATGCAAGCATTTGCTATGATGTCGAGATCAACATTCACTGTACAATAGCAATTTCCAACAGCTAGTATTTTTTTTTAACTTTTTACTATTCTTGTGCTTTTAGTCATAAGTACTTGTCAATAAATACTTTTTTGTTTAAAAATGTTTTACTGAACAGTGACACATCAATACAACTTGTTAGAATGAAAAAGTAAATAGAGAAACGGTGAAAATAAATCAACAAAGTTAATCCCGTACAGCATCTCACCTCATTTCTACAGAAAACCACAAGTTCTCTGGGTCACTACAGCTAAACCACGAGAGACAGACTTTTTACTTGGATTTTTGTACTTACTGGATACTAATTAATTAACAATGTCAAATTAAAAGTAATGTCTCAGATTTTTTTATTTTTTTTTTGCACATCACGGGAATATCGGGGACATTAATACATTAACACGTGCACAGTGCAAGGGTTAATACATTATCTTAAGGTATACCTGAAATGCTGCATTTAATCTATTTGCTTAAGAACTGTAAATACCTGTACCATACTAATTATTCACTGTAATTGTATCCTTTGTAATTTTTTATATATAAATAATGATTATTATTAGTAATTTCCCCATGCTTTCTGGTCAATTTTTCACATTGATTTAATGTCCTTTTCTCTACTGCATTTATTAATTCATGCACATAACTCAACACCTGAAGTTTTCCCATCATCTACCTAGTGCTATATAGTCGTAATGGCTTGGCACTTTCTTCTGATAATTCCCACCCTCCCATCATCTACAAAGTTCCAAGCTTCTGAATTTATGTGCTTATTTCTTCTATGATTATATCTTCTGGCACTTTACCTTGCACTCTTCTCACACCAGCATCACCAAAATTTTTCACATTTGCCATTTTTCTCTAATTTTACCACTCAAACTTTCAGAGTATCTAGTACTCTTTCCAATTACTGTACTTCTAATGTCTACTTTACCAATTACATATGCTTCCATGTATAATCTTTAACCCTTAAATGGTTCTGCTAATTAAAAGTCCCACATAGTGGTGTGCGTGACAAAAAGTAGTTCACAATGCTAACAAAAATATAGCTGATGGCGACTCAAGCAATTTAAGGTGTTAGTATCTCTAATCCTTCAACCTCTGTCTTCTTGTTGCACTTTCTAACTTCTTTCCAAATTGGTTAACAATTTTATGAAAAAAGTTATTCTACAATATATATTCCAACCTCATCATTCAGTCCAGTTTTTCTGTCGGCTGAAATTCTCACATATCTTATATCATTATACAGTACTCCCTCTTTCTCCTGCAGTTAGCATACAAAGAATCCCTTTCATTTTCTTGTCATCAACTGCTATTACCATTTGCTCATTCTACCAAGCACTTCTTTTTATTATTCTATCAGTTTGTGTAACACCACACATCACATTATCATTCCTAAACAAACATTCCTTGCAAACCATCAAATATCTTTTTGTACTCATCAGATAATGCTCTTTTTTACGTTTTTAATTTATTCATTTACCTTTTAGATCTGTGTTGCACCCCCATCAATTTACCGTTCAACCTTATTTTACATAACAATCATGTTATCAAACCATACAGATATTTCAATTTTTCTTATCACTAACATAAATTAATGCTCTTTTATTTGCAGTACTCACAGCAAATTTTCCAAACCGAGGAGGCCCATTCCACGAAAGTCTGTCTGCGGGTCATCTCCTTGAAAACCAATGATTTGCCATTGTTTTGTGATTCTTGCCTGGGAGAGAAAATATCAATGAAATCCAACAAACCATTTATAATATACAGTACAATGAAAAATCTTACCACAAAACAAAAGCTAGTCATTGGGAAAATAATTTAAAAGATAATTTCTAGTCAAATTTCTTTTAGAAAGAACCAAATACAGCAGATACCAGATGACATTTTACCTGTAAGGGTCATATTATTAAAATCATAGAAGGCAACCTAATTATAAAGGAAAAAAGATGAGATGACTGGAACGAGAGCCTTACATTGGTCTCCTTCACCCATACAACACCCCCAAAGAGGGGCAGGAGAGCACCCCATCTTCAAACCAAGTCCAGTCCATCCAGCAGTCGACCCCAAAGATGCATGCATCAATTTTAACATGCTGCTCATTCAAAATAGACATTTTCTCAAATACTGTATAAATTATTATTATTATTATTATTATTATTATATAATAGCATATTTAGGCATTGGTTAGTTTTTATACTGTTGAATCTAAGAGACAAAGTGAGGCCCAGCAGATGGTACAGGGGCAGGCACAGCAGATGATGCAAGAGAAAGCACAGCAGATAGTTCAATGGCAGGCACAGCAGGTGGTGTAATCCGATGTTAATTGGATTGAAGGTTTTCAAAGGGCCACAGAAAATAGCATGATGTTTAACTAGGATAAGTTCCAGTCACTGCACTATGGAAAAAAACAAAAATATCAAAGCAGAAACCACAAATAAATCACATTCAAACGACAATATTGAAAGATCAAGCAATGTACTGCAAGAGATTTAGGAGTAATCATGTCAAACCTTACTTTTAAAGAACACAATAAAGTAGATGTCACAAATGCAAGAAAAATTCCAGATTGGATACCAAGAACCTTTCAAATTTGAGATGCCATGCCAATAATGATACTTTTAAAACATTAGTGCTTTCTAGAGTGAAATATTGTTGCACACTAACAGTGACAAAGCTGGAGAAATTGCTGACCTGGAGAGAGTACAAAGTTCTTTTACTGCTAGAATCCACAGCATAAAACATTTAAATTAGTGGAACTGCCTAAAAATGTTAAACCTGTATTCCATAGAGTGCAAGCTGGAGAGAGACAATCATTTACACAAATAAACCAATTCATAAATACTGTACACTGGCCTTTGCAAACACCATGTGGGTATTTTTGCTCAAGCAAAAAGCCTGACAAACAAACAAAGCGCGTAAAAACAGTGTTAGGCACTGTATGGTAATCCATGAGGACAACTTGATTGATGGTTAAGTTACACAACAATGAGTTTATTCTCTAAGATAGAGAAAAGGTAGGAGGCAAATGCAGTCAGATGTGGAATACTGCAGGCTGAGAGGTTAGGTAACAGAAGCAAGAGAGTCAGTTTTGTCAGCATTGTTAACCACAGCCTGATATAGGACGCTGTCAGCCGGAAGTATATGCGACATAGCATCTCAAGTCACAGTGATAGTCTCATCAGGAACTATGGCCAGTGTGTGGAACGTTGCAAGCAGATATGTTAGGTGATGGTGGCATTTGTCACAGTGCTGGAGAATGACAGAGATTGTAGTCAGACATGGGACATTGCAAACCGAGAAGTTAGATGACGTAAGTCTCGGTGTGCACAGCACCAGTGACATAAGCCAGATGTGGAACGCAACAGGCATGGAGGTTAAGTGGCAGGAGCAAGAGTCCTAGTGTTGATAGTATCCATGAATGTAGCCTGATGAGGGCACTACAGGCCAAAAGGTGAGAGGACAAAGAAAAATATAAATAGTAAAATTGTTAATCCCTCACCCCTGACCTAACTCCACCTTTTCTATCTATAAGCAGATACCATAAATACATTAGACTTGATTAAGCCTTACAGGTGAAATGTCATCTTTGATAAAGTAACCTAGATCATTATGAGACCTATACAGTATTTTGTGGTCTGTTCAATAAATAGATTATCTTGTAATAAATGCATCAATACAGCAATTAAAGAATACAGTGTAATAAAACAATGTCATCAAGTGATATTATAAACTGAAATTGGCTGACCTCTAATATAGTTCCTGGCATTAAGGCAGCCCAAAGTCGTAGCAACTTCTCCTCGTGGCTGGGACTTGTCGAGTCATACATTTCTTTTCGTATAATTTCTATTTCAGCCATCAGCTGTCGATAACCCCAGATTTGAGTTAAACACTCCCCTAAGGTGTCTGTGAACCTGTGGAGATTTTCTAGAATGAAACCTGATAAAACTCCATGTTCATGAACTATAATGATGGATGACAAAATTCCTAATAATGGAACCAGAGACAAACATCTTGGCAATACAAGAACCATCACAAGAGCAAAAATTCAAATGCTCTAAGAATACTATGTTGTTAGAGAACTGAAAGACTATAAGGAATTGAGATATAATGCCTTATTTAACACTTTAACGTTCTAACCCATCGGAACGTTTTCAATCGTGACCGTTTCGGGGGATCTCAGGGTCCCTTACTCGAGACACCTACAATGTTTATACAAATTATCTCAGATAGTTTATGGTTTATTAATATAAATTTAGTATCAAAACGTTCGCAAATGAATTTGATAGAGTACCGATGCAAAATAAAATGTGAATTGATAATAGAATTTGCGTAATGGTGCTAAATATATGAATTTTTTTTTTAAATTTCAACATTCCTCATATATGATATTTCTTAACATTACTTTATTTTTCAATATATATATAAAATGTTAAACATGGAAATTTGGGCACATTATCGGTCTATAATACTGTAAAAAGAATAACACAGCCTTCATACTTTCTGGCAAAACAATAAAAATTCTCACAGAAAGAGCAATTATCGTCTCGAGTGATAGATAGTTGACCGAGATGATCCCCTAACACAGTACAGTACTTTGGTGGATTCCCCTGAGAAGCTATGCCCACTCTGTCTTAACAAAGATGTGATTTTAAGGATTTTTTGATGGATGACGCATTTTTAGCATTTTTATTGTCGAAGTTTGGATTACCAGCTATACTGTCATCAGAATATTAATGTATTAATATGGGTATTGTCTATGCTCAGTAATCAGAATCATACAGAGGCCACCTCCCCCATTCATGTTAGTCAAGTTATTAAAGTTACAGGCGAGTTAGTTGAAATTTTTTTACCAGGAATGTCCAAAAATTAACAAATTCAAAATTCTTTGTACCAAAACAGTTACTCCTGTTGTTCACCTGCACATTTTCATCATTTACTTGTTTACCCCTGCTGTTTACCCCATGCAATCCACCATCTACCCTCGCACCTTCATCTTTTACCTATCTACTCTCACCGTTTACCAGTGCATGATGAACACGAATTCATTCAGATTATTTGAAGATTCAAGTTACTGGAATTTGGATTACTGAGCTCTTACATAGGTGAAATATTTTTTTAATTGTCAAACAACCTTAAAATACTGCACATGTATTATGAAAGTTCGAAATGGAGATAAAATTATTGATTTTAAAGCAGTTATTAACAAGTTTTACAGTGCTTGAATTAAAAAAAAAACAGCGTTGAATGTAATGAAACACCATTTTCTGGGTGAGACCTGGAGGCTCCCCGGAGTTATCCAAGCTGATATGGATACGTATAACTTTCTGGCATCAGTCAATGTGCACGGAGTTCTTGCCTACCAGGAACCACGGCCAGAACCTGGTCCCCCTCAGAGAGGCATGAGGAGCAATGGCCTATAGAAACCGCCCCCCGTGTGGTTGGGAGCATTCTATGTCTGCCATCGACCGGGTCTGGCACCCAGAAAGTTAAGTGCCCCAAAACAAACCCCTATTCTGGTGAAAAATTGCTACCGAAAGCCGAACGAGTGGATAGAACTCCCTAAACGAAAATGGACTTTCTCCAGTTCACCAAGAAGCCAAACCCAGCGATCAGGAAAAGAACCAAAACCCTGGCGAGCAGACATGCAGACTGGCTGGGAGCCCAAACCAGCCAGTCATTAAGGTAGGCCAGAACCTGAACACCTAACAGATGCAAGCGGGCCACCACGACCCGAGTAAGGCGTGTGAAAACGCGAGGCACCAGATACAAACCGAATGGAAGACAAAGAAAATGGTAATCCTCATGCCCCACAACAAAACCGAGCCAGTCCCAAAACCAAGGATGAATCGGGATGTGCCAAGTTGCACCTGCGAGGTCCAGGGACACTATCCAAGCATCTGGCTCCAACTGAAGACGGACCTGGGACAGTGTAGCCATCCGACGGAGGGGCAAAAACCCACAGACTAGATTATATAAGAGAAGGACCCTAAATATAAAGAGGGAGCAACCAACCAAAAGCAGACCCCCCCCCCACATGGCAGAAAAAAAAAAACGCAAGGGGACAACGTACCTAGGCGGAACAGAGCCGGCCGATAAAATACCTGTAGGTGATAACTATCTGTGCAGTACCCTGTGCCCCTACCAGTGACAAAAATTACCTCCTACCCAGAGACAAACAAGGGCAACAAGACCTCAGCCAACTCTTAGGGCAGCCAAGTACCGAGCAGTAAAAGACACAGCAGAGGTAGACCCCAAGATAGCTGGTGGAAGGTGGCCCTAAGCCCCAAGGGTAGTACTTTCTGGGCACCCAGAGAAGGAAACCCTAGGCCCATGCAGCCCAAGTACTGTAGAATATTACTCCTGGCTCACACACCACGTGTAGAGACAGACTACACTACAAAGCACAGTAACTGAAACCAAAGCAGGAGCTAGAGGCACATGACCTGCCAGTATCACATCAGCCAAGAATTGATGGGTGGATCACTGATGCGAGGGTCTAGGGCTTCCCCTTCTCCCTCCCGGGGAAGTGGGGAGTTGAGCAGACAGCGGCGCGGTGGCATGATGACGTCATGCTCATTTGCTAATTTTCGTTTGGGGAGTTCTGTCCACTCGTTCGGGTTTCGGAAGCAATATTTTCACCAGAATAGGGGTTTGTTTTGGGGCGCCTACCTTTCTGGGTGCCAGACCCGGTCGATGGCAGACACAGAATGCTCCCAACCACACGGGGTTTCTATAGGCCATTGCTCCTCATGCCTTTCTGAAGGGGCCAGGTTCTGGCTCGTAGTCCCTGGTAGGCAAGAACTCCATGCACATTGACTGATGCCAGAAAGCTAATATATCCATATCAACCTGCATAGCTCCAGGGAGCCGACGGGGCTTCCCCTTAGAAAACTGCACAAGGGCAATAATGACCGATAAAGCCACTGCACAAAGAAACAACTCGGCTCCAGACATGGGCTTAGCTGCTACCACTAAAACTGTGAAAGCAGGCTGCCAACTACAGACAACACCCCCTCCCATGTCCAATAAGGGAATGTAGGAAAGAACTGGCTCCAAGATAAGCCAAGCAGCCTGGGCTGCCATCTAAAAGTGACTGGGAATTGTTACTAGTGTTGTTCATTTGTTAGTCAGTTGTATCTGGACCTTCTGCAGAATTTTTTCCTTCAGTTTCTGAGTTGGTCTCTGATCCCCATTCAGCCCATGCCCTGTTTACAGAGTCAGATTCAAGTGTTGGTTCTTAGAAGGTATACACAAGACTGTGGGCCTGGTACAATCTGAAGGCTCAGCAGTCCCACCACTTGAGTCCGAGGAAGCAACTAAGGCTCCAATCCAGAAACAAAGCATTCACGACTATGGATGCTATTGTTCAACTAGTTACACAATAATTGTGTTGAAAAGGTTGTAGAGAATAATTTAAAACTTGAACACACATGCAAAAATAAATTACTGTACAATATTCTACATGAGAAAACTAAATAACAACTACAGTATTGTAAGTATTAAAAAATGCTGACATATCCAATTACCTTTTATGAATGTGTGTGTTGATCTTTTTTATTCTGACAATAGCAAATACAGCATAATAAATAAGGTCTCGCTTGAGGGTACACTCCTGGCATTTGGTTTCCATATATTTTATGCACTTTTGGATCTCCGGAGTACGGCTATGTTTTAATGAAAATTCTGAAAAATATAATTAACCATTAATTACATGTTTTGCAATGTATTGAACTCCACTGCTATGCAATCATGGGAACCTTTCCACAAATTCACAATGAACATTTAAATTAAATTGTAATGTTCAATGAGATAGCAATCATGTATCATGATTGTTGCATTACCAAGAAAAATAGAGAAATATTGGTGTATAAATGTCATTTCCAAATGACAAATTTCACTAATTTGTAGCTAATCTAGGCCATCAGAACATGCTTATTCCTAAAACCATGATACATGCACCTGACAATATTAAAGTTATATTAATCAAAGTGCCAGTATAAAGTCATTTATTCTTTAATATAGGAAAAATTTGAAGTTGACACCCAATGTAGCTAACCTGCATTTCAAATATATTTCCATTCATTCATTATAAATACACTATTTTGACTGTCATGGGGGTAAGGAAGTATCACTAGAAAAAAGAAAGAAAAGAAAGGGGGAAGAATATTTTGATAGTACTAGTAGTTTAAAAATTGCTGTCACTTAGTACACGTGTGCAAAAATGAGCAGTTGCACCTTAATCCCTTCTACGGTAATTTATCCCTGACAATGGCTAACCTTAATATCAATCTACTGCCCTTTTTTTATTAAACTAATTATGTTAAGATCTGTCTTTTTGAAAGAGTTACCTGGGATTTGCTTGTGGAGCAAGCAGAGAGAAAGAGGATGGGTGTAGTTGGGCCATTCGCAGTCTACCCTTCCACCTTATCCAATCGTGCCAAATGAGTGACAGTTCTAGTTACCTTGGCTAAAATGCTAAATCTACCAACACAAATGGGCTATGCCCAGAATGGTCAGTTCTGATTTATCCCAATGAAAAGTTGCACAACACCGGAGATACAGCAGATTCTGAGCATCTTCCGAAGAAGGCCTAACTCACCAACATATTTATCAGAGTTCCTATTTTATCCTTCATCAAGGATATTAGAGCAAGCCTCTTCCATCAAGTTAAATGACTGCATACCCAGAAGTCCCCAACTGTTCAGAATTTACAGCCATACCTCTGACATAATGCATGTATCCCAGCCAGGCCACACACTGTGACCTGTTACTGTAAGATACGCCCTGAAAAACTACTTCACAGCCTCCCAGCCACCCAGGTGGCAGTAGTGCAAATTCATCCCATGTTGTCCAACGTTGCTGCGACATCATGTACCGTCCACTGACCATGCTCTTGTTGTGTGCCTGTTTGTATGTATGCATTGACAACTATAAGTACTAGTGCTGGGACAGTCTCCACACTTGTGTTATCTGATTACGTTCAATCAAAACCTCCAATTTTCCAGCCAGAGTTGCCAGATTGTGAATTGTAAATCTACATCCATTTTCCACAAGCAACTAACAAAACTTCCTGGCTACTTCTGCAAGTGGTGGTATGAGTCCTAGTAAAGGCATTACAAATACTGTACAGCTATTGATGTCCACATATGTGCATATCCAATGTATAACATTGTTTCAGAGAAAAAGAATCTGAATCTCGGAGAAAAGATCCAGTAAAAACTAAATAGTATTGTCACTATAACTACTGTACTGCCAGACACACCCCTCATGACGAGTCTAGCAAAAAGAGGTACAAAGCTTCATCCTCAAGGTTGGCCATAGCTCAGACACCATTGTATTGATAACGCTTGTAGAAACTGTTCGAATGGTTTTATTCCCATGTTCACTCATGATTGCATATTGCAATTCACTTACAACTATTACAATTCAATAAATATTGGTACATTACAGTGAAAGATAATAGAATTAAAGGTTGATTTTGCCTTTGTGGGAAAATTGCTTAGGGAAGACAGGACAAAATCCACCATCATATACAGTATAATGCAACGAATGCGACGCTGCTTGTACCTCACATTGTGGTGGACAGAGAAGTAAACACATACTTACAATAAATCATATGACAACATATACTATACAGTACTATATTTACACATGTACACTGCACAACATAAACAGTAGAAAGAGAAATATTGTGATTCAATAGCTTATCATTGAAAGTACTGTACTATCTAAGCTCACTAATTTTGATTATATGGGGATGATCCCTACCTTACCTTACCTTGAGGTTACCTTGAGGTGCTTCCGGGGCTTAGCGTCCCCGCGGCCCGGTCGTCGACCAGGCCTCCTGGTTGCTGGACTGATCAACCAGGCTGTTGGACGCGGCTGCTCGCAGCCTGACGTACGAGTCACAGCCTGGTTAATCAGGTATCCTTTGGAGGTCCTTATCCAGTTCTCTCTTGAACACTGTGAGGGGTCGGCCAGTTATGCCCCTTATGTGTAGTGGAAGCGTGTTGAACAGTCTCGGGCCTCTGATGTTGATAGAGTTCTCTCTCAGAGTACCTGTTGCACCTCTGCTTTTCAATGGGGGTATTCTGCACATCCTGCCATGTCTTCTGGTCTCATGTGATGTTATTTCTGTGTGCAGGTTTGGGACCAGCCTCTCTAACATTTTCCACGTGTAAATTATTATATATCTCTCCTGCCTGCGCTCAAGGGAGTACAGATTTAGGCTCTTTAGTCGGTGCCAATAGTTTAGGTGTTTTACTGAGTGAATTTTACCAGTATAGGATCTCTGCACGCTCTCCAGGTCGGCAATTTCTCCAGCTTTGAAAGGGGCTGTCATTGTGCAGCAGTACTCCACTCTAGAGAGCACAAGCGTTTTGAAAAGTGTCATCATCGGTATAGCATCTCTAGTGTGAAAAGTTCTTATCCAACCTGTCATTTTTCTTGCAGTTGTGACGGCTACTTTATTGTGTTCTTTAAAGGTAAGGTCTTCCGACATGAGTACACCCAGATCCTTTACATTGCCTTTTCGTTCTATGTCACGATTTGCCTGAGTTTTGTACTTGGTTTCCGTTTTTATATTTTCATTTTTTCCATAGCGCATGAGCTGGAACTTATCTTCGTTAAACACCATATTATTTTCTGTAGTCCATAGAAAGACCTGATCTACATATAACTGGAGGTTTGCCGTGTCCTCTATGTTGCCTACTCTCATGAAGATCCTAGTGTCATCTGCAAAGGATGATACAGTGCTATAGGTTGTGTTCTTGTCTATGTCCGATATGAGGATGAGAAAAAGTACTGGAGCAAGCACAGTACCCTGGGGGACTGAGCTCTTCACAGTTGATGGGCTGGATTTTATTTTGTTGACTATTACACATTGGGTTCTGTTGGTCAGGAAATTGTAGATCCATCTGCCTATTTTTCCGGTAATTCTTTTTGAACGCATTTTATGTGCAATAACGCCATGATCACATTTATCAAAAGCTTTTGCGAAATCTGTGTAAATTACATCAGCGTTTTGTTTGTCTTCCATAGCATCTAATGCCATATCATAGTGGTCCAGCAACTGCGACAGGCAAGAGCACCCTGTTCTGAAACCGTGTTGAATCCCAATCCAAATCATGGAGATCTGAATTAGCCAAATTTCTAAATATGCACGTAAAAAAAAATTTAATGTAATAAATTCCTCTTTTTGCTTGAGTTTTAGTGCTTCCCTGAAACTATTTCCCTGAAATAGCTTACAACTATTGGGTCAAATCACTCCTAAAAGTCCTGTATGACTCACTGGAGACCTGGCCCCCTCTCACAGACGAACAAGGAGCTGCACAAATATATCTGTACATACCTAACTACTTAATTAAGTTCTACATGTTCTGTGATACAAATAACATTGCACAGAGAATCATATTAATGTGATATATCAATGAGAAAATCAATTGGAGCTAATGTGAGGGGTTCGAACCAGTAACATGGGTGCTTCCAAGCATATGCCCTAAACCCCTGAACCATAATACGCTAATAAGTACAGTAATGTCACTTGGGATTCAACTGAATCCACTAGGGTCTTGAGGCATCAAGCTGATACCAAATAACGTTTTTACACGTTACCCACGTACACTCTGCTGTGGCATAGGAGTTCTTCCACCAACGCTCCCTTCAAATGTACACAATCATATTAACTAGATGTACCCTGAGATCAGAATTACTAAGGTCCAAATTAGCAAGTTGATACACTATTGACACTAGATGGCAAGTAATACAGACTATTCTCAACTACAGCTGTTCCTTCTATGTGAAAATGTGATAATATTGGGTAATGTAAAAAAATGCATATTCTTAAGCATGTTTCACTTAATAATAGCATGTTAAACAAAATTAAGAATTTACAAGTCAAACTTAATTAAAAACTCTCAGTACCTACCAACACCACACGTCCTCAGGGCTCCTTTGTATTCACCGTAACATATACGTTGTAACTCACAGAGTCTGGTGGTGCGCCTCAGTACCCACTTGATCAGTGGACGCATCCACCAATACAAGGTACTCCATACAATGCTGAACATCCCTCTGTTGATAATAAAAACAATTGTGAAAAGTACCTAATATATGCACTGATATTAGCTGAAGTAATATTTGTTTACTTCATTAAAGCTATCAAAGGATTGCATTTACAGTCTCCAATACAGTCATACCCCTCAATCATTTATGTAAAAATAATATAGTATAATAGAATACTGCAATATGAAATAGATCTTAAAATATTATGCTCCACCTCCTCTTTCTCTCTTTCTTGTTCCCCCTTCCATGTTCCATCCCACTCTATCTCTTAAAGATATTAAAAAAACATGCCATAGTATGGTATTTTTTATACCATAGATACTATACAGTTCAAAGACACTTCAGATAATGTCCCCAGGCCAGAATATCCCAAGATACAAGTATAGGGTGTTAAATGTATAATAAGTGCAGGGGGGGCTAGTGCAGTAAGTACAAGATAATACTAGAGTGTCCAGTGAATGAGTGTTGAACATGCAGCAGTGGTTGCAGTGATGAGGTTTTGTTGGTGACTATGGTTGTCTTTGTAGTGACTGTGATGTTTACAGTGGTAGTATTATCTTCAGTGATGATGACATTTGTAAGTGCCATACTACTTGGAGTCATCAGTCACAATGTTCTTGTTGCCTACCGGGACCCACGAGTCAGAACCTGGCCCCCCTTAGAGAGGTGCAGGGAGCAATGATTCATGAACACTTTACATTTAAAGTTTATCATCTTGCCTTCAACCAGGGAAGCATCCAGAAAGTTAGGAGAATCAAAACAAACTACTGTCTGGTTGAAAAATGAGACCAATACCCCTCACCATATCAAAAGAGCTCCCCCAATAAGAAAACAACTAAGACTTTGTCAAACCAACCCTCTGCTTGTTAGCTCCACCTGCCCCCTTGTTGGGGGGACGGGGGAGCCAGTCCGGTCAGTCAGCCCGGACTGGTCGGCTCTGAAATGATGAAAATAATTTCAGTAATGAAATGTAATTAAAATGAAATTACATTTTAATTGAATTACATTACTTTGAATGTAATAAAACTAGCATTTGATTACATTCAACGCTGATTTTCTGGGAAAAGCCCTGTTGGCTCCCAGAAGCTAACTACCCACAGAGAATGGAAAAACAGGGGACTTACCAGAGAGGCAGCAGCCCTCGGGTCTCAACTCAAAGGTGAAACTAACGGCCATGACAGATGCCCCAAGGCAACACAAGGCCGCAGAGGACCAGGAACATTGATAAGATACTTGGCAGCCAAGACCCTGCTAGACCTCCAAAACCCATGCCCAAATATTGGCCCAAGACATGTTACCAAAAACAGCCAACAAAGGTATACATCATGACAACATGGGTAGAGTGCAGGCTGGCTAGCTTTAATGACACTCCGGACAACCTGAGAAACATGAGCCCTGTGTCACGTGAATTCCCTGCATAACAGTGGAACTGTCTTTCTCCCTCACCTTCAATGCCTCTGTACTGAAAGTCCACCAGCCCAGCCCAGATGAATCATCAGTCCTGCTACTTCTCCACCTCCCTGTAATCCCCCCCCCCCCAAGGACTGGCACGGCCTGGTAAGACTCAGCGGCAAACTGAGCGCTTTAGCTAACCGGTAGTTTGCCCTCACAAACAAGCAAGCAGTTAGCCGCCTTTAACGAGCAGTGGGGCGCCTCAACACAAAGGCACCGCCAACCACAAACTAGCAGTTTGCTAGTTGACCAGTTGTCCACCTTGCGTTGACACTAGATGAGTCATCACCGCCGGACTATATAAGGGGCACCGCCTCCCTGGAGAGTCAGTCAGTCTCTTAGTGCTCTTGGATCACCTCAGCTTCCTGCAACGCCATTTGCCCCATTTGCCTTCAACCAACGTCATATGCTGGATGCTGTGGTGGTATGGTAGTTGTCTTCAGCACCACCAGTATACTTTGTATTGTATTAGAGTTAAACTTTCATTTACTGTACTTACTAGATTTTTTATATAATAATAGCCAAATATTCTCAGGTGCCATTTTTGTTCATTAATATTTCAGAAATTGTTTTAATTATTTATTTGATGATTTTCATTTGTTTCCACCTGCAACTTACACACTGCAAGGGCCAATAGCAGCATTTTTTTTTATTTATGTGACAGAGACATACCATCTTGGTTCAGTATAGCTGCAATACCACAACCTGTTACACCTGGAATAGGGAACCAGGGAAATTGGATCAACCCACAATGAATCCACTAAAACAGAACCGGTGGCACATAGGTAGCGTTGCAAAGCCGTCACCAGACACAGAGCATGATGCACCCTCGGCCGAACCAATCAATCTTCCACAACCAAAGGACCCCTCTGGAAGCCTGCCGTCTCATTCTTCACCAGGAAAAAAGGAGCAGGCTGCAAATGAACAAAGCAAGCACCAGGACCAGAACAACAAAACCCCAGTGCTGAAGCAGAGCATGAAGCTCACCATCCCAACAACCAGAGGCAAGGCAATCAAAAACAAGGCGTTCCAAAAACAATCCCAGACTGAAGGTGCCACCACAAACTGGGCAGAATAAAGAAAAAGTAAGAACCCAGTCCAAGGAGCAGTGCATGAGCAGGCTGGAGATGAAACAAGCACAAGAAAGCTTTCGGAACAGGGCCGGTGACATCAATCCCGAACACAGGCTGAAGCGTCCCTGCTAATGCCGAACAATAGGAAGTGACAGTATTTGGCATAAGATGCAGTTCGAGGAAAAGCCAGGAAAGAAAATAACCCATTCGGAAACAGAAATAAAACAACGAAGAGAGAGAAAATGGTGAAAAGACCGCCAAGAAACCTCATACAGTACTATTGCTGAGAAGACGACTACACGTGGGACATCGTTAAACTGTCATCTGATCACCATATAAATGGCGATAAATACGTGCCAGTAATTTAAAGACAGCTCCAGGAGGCTAAAAGAACCATAGGACAGAGGCCAAGTGCACAGGAGTCCGAAGGTCGTCAGCCACCATGGCACCCGAAAGAAAGGGAACCTTAGTGTGCAGCTGCACAAGTCCCACGTTGTAGTGAAGGGCAGGGGTGAAGGGGCACTCATTGAGGGACTTAAGAGAGCCCTCAAAAACACTTTCAACACAGAGGACACCTCCCTCCAATCAAACGTGCGGGAACGACAAATGCCGTGCAAAGCCCCAAGTGAAAACGAGGAACAGTCCACTACCCAGGACGACTCCAGAACGCCTCCTCATAATGCACCCAATAAGGGAAAGAAAAACTGAACTCAAAAGAAGCTGGATCCATCACCAAGGCGTAAACCGGGTCACACAGGAGGTACGCACCGAAGACCACTCAAACTTCCATAAGTGAAACACAAGAGGAAGGAAACCTCTGGAAAGAAGAATCTGAAGAGTCCAAAGGCACCTGGAAACAAACCCTGGGGAAGCCCCATCCAAGTCCAACTCATAAACAGAAAGGGGATGCAAAAACCCCTTACCCTGCACTGAGGGCACAAGGGGTCCAAGCAGGGTCAAAAGGAACCTGTAAATGTATTTGAATATTTTTTTTTTCATTTAACCATCAAGAGCAAAGGCAGAAATCATCTCCTTTCAGTTGTCAAAGAAATTTATGTGTGTTTATCTAATGTAAGACCCAGAATTATTTCAAGTGAATGCCTTAGGGGCAATATTGCCCCCATTGAGAATGGCTGGGTTAAGTAATCCACATACAGTTTTTAATTTCTCTAAATAATGCAGGAAAGGAATGTTTTGCCAATCCAACACAGTCTGGAACCCTCTGCCCTGTATCATGCTTTTTACTAATTTTAGAGGGAAACCCTCAGACATAGTTAGAAGTTCATCCTATATACTGTACTGTACAGTACTCGTACTCATACAACCATACTGTACTCGGAATATTTGGAAAGAAAAATTTTAGTCTGACCATTTGAGAAGTACACAACTTTTTCACTGCTGCAACTTCAGATTAATTCAAACACTTCTGATATTTATAGTACAGGTTATTAGTGAGCACTGCATGCATCAAAACTATTATTGGACAATTTTATAGAAATGATTTCTTACATTGAATCAGAGATTCTTTACCTTTTTACAAATACAGATCCACAATGGATTATCCACAATATACCCATACCCACTCTACCAGACTGTCAAAATCAGTATCACTACCATCATTGGTCCTGTAAGTATGACTTCAAAAGATGTCAATACCTTGGTTTTACTTTACGTATGGATAGGTAGAAAAAGAACAGCTGAAGGAAAATCACGATGATTTTAACATTTATTTATAGAAAAATGGCAAATCACAAATACACAAGCGAGCTACAACTTTTTAGGCTATCAAAACATCGAACAATCTTAATCTGCATCAATAAAACTTGTGTTTAATTCTATCAACAACAACCACCTGTACATTAAGAGCCTAATAGCATTTATAATACTTTTAAGTAATTATAAACATAAGAGCACTAATCAGATATAAGTATACAATGTATAGCAACTGTAAACAGATATAGTATACAAATTGCCAATTAATCATAATTTCCTATAAAACACTCAAGAATTCAACTTGAGTATTCTCTAAAACACGCTGACTTCTCACGTTAAATTTAAGGACAAGATTTTGATAGAATAGTTTAACTATAATTCAAATCAATATTTATTCAAAAGAATGTGTGCACAAAGAATATTAGAGTAATGTATAAATGTAGAGACAGGAGTTACACATACTAATGAAGTCACTAATTACGCAAAGTGTTTCGTGCAAACCATAAAAAAAAAGTTAACAGGAATATTAACACAACAAGTACAACAAGGCTAGTAGACAGGGCATAAAGAGTTTGACATCATTTTCCCAGTTACTGATTGGTAAACACCTGCTTGCAGATACCTACATAACCACCACCTCTTATGCAATACCTACACAACCACAACCTCTCGTGCAATACACGCCTGCAGATACCTACACGACCACGACCTCTCATGCAATACCCCCCTGCAGATTCCTTCACGACCACATCTCATACAATACCTGCCAGCAGATACCTACACGACCATGACCTCGCATGCAATACACGCCTGTGGATACCTTCATGACCACGTCTCGTGCAATACCCGCCTGCGGATACCTACACGACCACGACCTCTCATGCAATACCCGCCTGCGGATACCTACACGACCACGACCTCTAATGCAATACCCGCCTGCGGATACCTACACGACCACGACCTCTCATGCAATACCCGCCTGCGGATACCTACACGACCACGACCTCTAATGCAATACCCGCCTGCGGATACCTACACGACCACGACCTCTCATGCAATACCCGCCTGCGGATACCTACACGACCACGACCTCTCATGCAATACCCGCCTGCGGATACCTACACGACCACGACCTCTCATGCAATACCCGCCTGCGGATACCTACACGACCACGACCTCTCATGCAATACCCGCCTGTGGATACCTACACGACCACGACCTCTAATGCAATACCCGCCTGCGGATACCTACACGACCTGTCATATTAATACTCGCGTGCGGATACCTACATGGAAATCTTCATCGTAGCACAGAAACGAACAGTGCAAGCCCGTTCATAGCCAGAAAAACACAGCACGACGCAAGCACTGTCAGGTAGAATCTACTCCTGATTGGTGGAGATGGCAGCAGCTGACGCACTGTGCTTCCTGATTGGTACAGGCGACGGCAGCTGACGCACTCCGCCCCCTGATTGGTCGACGCCACTGAACTGACGCACTCACACCCAATCAAAACAAACACCTATTCCATCTACATCAATTTGTTTACTTAATAGCTATTGTTTAGACAAATTTATTATTGAAAACCATTACAAATATTTATTTAAAATACATTTTAGCAATATATCTTTTATAAACACCAAACTATAGCATAACTTAGCAGTCTTTTAGGATTTTAATTTACACAAAATTAATATTTCTCAACGAAAACCCTTTACATTCTATAAAATATACTCTAAAATATCTTACATTATTTTTATCTCTAAACTAAAAATGTTTAATAGAGAAAGTGAGGCAACGAAATAATTTTATACAGAGTATCGGAGCGGTGTGGGGTGTGAGGTCAGGAGTAACAAACAGTATGGCGGAGGTGTGTAAGTGAACGACAACATGGGAACCCTCTTATGGAAATTATACGTAATTTTCAGCCTCCTGGAGATTGTCAATAACCTGGTTGGCAATGCTGACGGCCAGAGTCATGGTGAGTGAAGTTGTCACGTTATCCCGGGTGTGTTATGGGGACGGAGAAGGGTGTTTTGGTGGGTGGGAGAGGTGGGTGTAGTGGCTGGCGCTCCTGGATGGCTGCCAGGAGGCCTCCCGCCTCTGCAACCTATCACACTGTTTGCAATAATTGATTTTCGCAGTGCTCTAATTGGCCCTCCCGTGCTAGACGGCGGTGTGCCGTCTCCTCACGTACAGAATTGCTGGTTGGCGAGCTAGTGACGCTTGTGGTTCTCTTGTCAGATTGATAGGCAGTATAAATGAATGGGGGCTCTTTAACTCCTAAGTCCCGTAAGGAGAACATTCTTGAGGTGTAGCTCACTGTAATAGTGTGAATGAGTTTCTTTCCTTCTTACCTCACTGGTAAACACAGCTTGAAGCTTCTACAGTGGCGAACGTGTCATTATTTAGTAATACTCGGGGTGTTTTGTGTTTAATACCTCCCACGATTATAATCACTTAGTACTTAATAGGATAATTAAATTACTTTAGTAAACTCTCGGTATTATTTGTGCTTAATATAAACAAGTGAAAGGAAAATCCGTTCCGATAGGGGTCACTATAGATACTAAATACAATGTTATTAGAACAGTGCTAATACCCGGTTCAGCATTGTCAAAAAGGATTATCGCTTGACCATCAAAGATTAAAACCTCTAGTATTAATTGCTTGTACTAAAAGGAGTAAGTGGAATTTAAGCATGCATAAATTCAAAACCAATATTTACAGGTTTGTTAGACCCGTACTGTACTGTACATGTTCATACACACACTTCAACATATCATAGGCTAGGCTAGGTACAAACATTCGTTTGGGAACTTTATCCTGCTTGAAGTTGATTTCGTTAATTATGGCTCTATCCTGTGGAAGGGTGGCCAAAAATGTTTGTTATATTATGGTTCAGGAGCTGCACTCTAGTGTTCTTGAGGCTAGGCTAGTTGCATTGTGAACTAGTAAGTTTTCATTTGCACCAAATTCGTGATATTTGCAAGACAGTATCCAATTGTAGTAAGTTACTGGTATAGGTTAATGATGGGAAATCTGCAAGAAACTCGCAGTTGTGCAAACTTTGGTAACTGGCAGCACAGTGGTACACAGTACCCACACAGTACTAGGCCTATACTGTGTAAGTCATACTGACTGACTTCTTTATCCTCAAAATTGGATAAGATTTTTGGTAATATGTCATCACAGTTTAAAAGACTTTAACATTTCTTTGACTATTGCTACTTTATGCTCCACAATTTTGAAGTTATTGATGTGTCCAAAATTGGTTTTATATTGGAATCGAAGCCTCTAAATTTGTATGCATTCTCAAACTAATGTACATCGCCCTCGTTACGTTAAGCAGGTTTGTCAAGGTTCGTAGAGTTATAATAAGGCAAAGCAACTTAAAATTAGACACTTGGCAAACCTATAGAACAGGCCTGGTTAGGACTGCTTCATGGTGGTTGCTTATAATATTGGATTAGGAATCTTTTCCAGAAAAAATTCGACCAAACTACCGTATTTGTAACTGGCAAGTCATGCATGTGTTAGGAGTGTGAATTAAGTGCCATGGTAGCCAGCTGTGTTCAGTAATATTTTATGTATACAACTTTAGTAAGTGTATTTATATATTACTGCAGTTGTGATCCTAACCAAAGTTTAGAATGGAGCTGTGTACTCGTGAGGGGTAACGCTAGGGTAATGACAGTGGAGGGCAAGTGTTATGGTCGTCCAGGCTAGCGACAAGTAACCCATGCATAGCCATTGTGGCTCCGTGAGGGGGAATTTGAGGTGGCTAATCATAAGGTGTGGATATTATAGTCGTAATGGCTTAGGGTTCTCTCCTGATGGTTCCATATTGGACCTTGATTTAATTAAACTGACAATTCCAAGCCTAAGTAGGTCACGATCGCAGCAGAAAGTAGAAGTGACCAACAAGGGACTTAGTGATGTGCCAAGGACCTTGTTTGTACAGTAGTTGATAGTCAATGAATACTTAACCCCGGTTGGTGAAGTAAACCTCTTAAATAAAATGTTAATCAATTAGGCTTGACAAGATGCAATTTCTCTGAAGATTTTGGATAATTGGTCATTTTGATGGTTAAATTCCTCGCTCTAAACTGTTAGGTGGGGACTAGTAGGGGAGGTTAGGTGGAGACTAGTAGGGGAGTGTCCCGAACCTTGAGATATTTGTGGCCAACGTTCCTGACCTTGGGGGGACCTGTCCTTGGCATATTATTGCTTTATTTGTGTGTGTAACATATTTCCCCACTTTGAATTTGGAGTTTCTTACTATTCTAATTAATATGTATTGGCGCGAGCAGTGATGGTATGCGAGCGTGTGAAGTGTATTGGTATGACGTAAGGTAAGCGTGCGTGCGTGCGCACACGGCTGTTGCACCACATGTCTCCAGTAGACAAAATCAAATCAAAATCAAAATGTTTATTCAGGTAAATGTGCATACATAGAAGATGAGTTAGAAACATAATGTTGGATTTATAGATAATAGCTAGTATGTATAATACCTAAAGCCACTATTACGCGCAACGTTTCGGGCAGACGGTATACACCTGGGCCCAGATTCACGAAAGCACTTACGTCAGCACTTACGAACCTGTACATCTTTTCTCAATCTTTGGCGGCTTTGTTTCCAATTATTAAACAGTTAATGAGCTCCGAAGCACCAGGAGGCTGTTTATAACAATAACAACAGTTGAATGGGAAGTTTTCATGCTTGTAAACTGTTTAATAAATGTAACCAAAGCCGTCAAAGATGTACGCGTTCGTAAGTGCTTGCGTAAGTACTTCAGTGAATCTGGCCCCTGGCCGGCATGCGTCGCGGACGTGCGTTTTTAGGCAGTATTAGCATCAACTGGTCTTGTTCAGAATCTATCAATTCGGTGACGGTAATCGGGCCAAATTAAACCTAAGCCGCCCGGTTATTTTGCAATCCATAATATTCAGTTGGGATTCTGACCTAGCTGTTATAGGCATACCTTCATATAGGCACATACCTACGTTTCGTTCATACATTTTTGTGGTTAAACATTGGTTTTGATGTTAGGTGAAAACTCTTCACAGTTCTTACAAAGTAAATATAGGGGAAATAGGGACGTATAGGGGGAAAAGACGTATTATAAATGCTCTCGGAGCTATATAAAATCTAGCCTTTTGTAAACAAAATTCAATGGATATTTATAGGTAAAAGTTCGCATGAATGATGCATGTGGCCTACTTAACAGTTTTGGGTTATTATTAGCTTAAGTGGGTGACCTAAATGTTATTAAAGCTAATGAACTTGTATGGCCTTTAAACACTGACACTGGTGGCCGTAATCAGAAACGTGCACTAAAATGTCATTTGAGTAAGACTCACTGTGTGACCTTTGTCCGGTTTGGGACTGTCACCGATTATATTCTTCCTTACTGTGATGCGGGTTGTTAGCTAGCTATTTTGAGTGTTAGTAACGGTAAGTCTTAATACACGAATCTTCGCTGAACTAGCGGCATTTGTAATAATATACACGATAGTGTGTGAAGATGCTAAATCAGCCAAAGACTGGTCGGGAAGTGGAAACAACAATTTTAATACGTGGATTAAATATTTCCACGAACCTGAACACAAACATTATTCTCATTTCTTAAAGGGGAAAAAATCTAGATACAAGTTGGGACAAAAGGGGATTTTATATGATCGTAAATCTCCTGATATTATTTGGCGATTTACCTGGTGGAAGGGTGATTGTTGGCATTAAACGTGTGTATACATGTAGAAGGGGTTGGGTTGGAAGGGGGGGTGGAGGTTGTGTATGCACTTCGCTATTTGTGCTTGCAGGATCGAGCTTTGGCTCTAGGATCTCGCCTTTCCAGCTGACGATTATTAATATCTAATGCATTTATTCTATCATGTATACTTCAGAAATAATGAATGGAGCTCGTTTAAAAACTAGGTCATTTGTAAAAGAAAATGTTTCAAGGTCTCTGTTGTGGTCTAATGTGATTCTAAAGCTCCCATTCATGCCATCTTGTTCTATTGGTATTCATTGTGAACACCTTTCACAATGAATCCAATTCTCCAGTGCCAATCCCCCCCGTTAGTTCTGTATAAGTCTTGAAGGGCCTGACCGTCCTCCCCTCCATCCATTTCCCATTTTCTCTGCCCCCTCCCCATTTTCTCTGCCCCCTCCCCATTTTCTCTGCCCCCTCCTCCCCATTTTCTCTGCCCCCTCCCCATTTTCTCTGCCCCCCTCCCCATTTTCTCTGCCCCCCTCCCCATTTTCTCTGCCCCCCTCCCCATTTTCTCTGCCCCCCTCCCCATTTTCTCTGCCCCCCTCCCCATTTTCTCTGCCCCCCTCCCCATTTTCTCTGCCCCCCTCCCCATTTTCTCTGCCCCCCTCCCCATTTTCTCTGCCCCCCTCCCCATTTTCTCTGCCCCCTCCCCATTTTCTCTGCCCCCCTCCCCATTTTCTCTGCCCCCCTCCCCATTTTCTCTGCCCCCCTCCCCATT